ATAACCACTTAACCAACCAACCGACCAACCTACTTAACAACACAGACACACATAAGCACAAACGAGTGCTATATGACACAGATTCTGTATCTGTGCAAATGGCTCCAGATACAATATACATCTCGCATTTAATGTGCAATGCAAATGGTGCTTGCATTTGCACATTTGCAGTTGTTTGTCGGTGATACTTTGGCTTTTCGTCGACGAGCGCGTACGTCGGCTCATGTTATCCTCACAAGCTTCCTTTTCACACTAGCACTTTTAAGAGGGACGAATTAATTTACACATTGTGGTCGTAGGAAGGAGGGCAGGCGGGCATATGTCGATGCTTTAATTTATTCATATTAAAAATTGTTTAAATATTTGTACGTAGACCTAAAATATTTTCATGCATTTGACTAACGAGCAGAAGGCACACGCACACAAGGCACAGCCCTGCAGCATTTTTGTCAAATTTCGCCCTTTGCGGCAGCAAGTGCGAATTCCACGCATGTCGGAAACGCAATAAAAGGACAACGGACATTCGTAGGACGGGGAATGAACGCTTACAATCCACATGTGTGTGAGCTCACTTGCAACTAATTGCTCGTGTAGTATTTTTTCACACTTAGAGAAGAAGAGTGCAAGAGAAAAACATTACAAGGTTATAAACGTAATAAACAAATTTAGACGAGCAGGTCCTCCGGCATTTAAGGGTGCAGTACAAAAAAGTTACGGCTCCAATCACAACCTATTGCCCAAAGAGATGGCTGAGGTAGCAATAACACAGATAGATCCAACCTAATCGGGATCCTATAGACTTATATCCCGGAAATGTTCAAATTTTTTCTGCAAGTGTAGTTGCTGTAGAAATAAAAAGAACTTAGAAAAGTTATGTAGTCGGCAAAATAGGCAGTTAAATTTACTTGCATCACCATATAATGAACAACAACAAGGAGCCACAAGCCGACATCGTTATAACACTTGAGCGAGAATGCACGCTTCAACCCATCTTTGCCCACCCGCCGACCTTAGCCAGCCAGCCTCTCAGGCTGCTTGACTTGTGGACACGCACACAATTGAAGAAGTGTAGAAGTGCCGGTGCCAGTGCCGGTGCCAATGCCTGCTTATACGAGTACAACTGTATAGGATGTGCGACCATAAGTAAATATCAGCCTCTTTGAGGCTGTTAAAATGTAATTACGGCAAGAATATGGTAGTTGCTATTAGCGACTATGACAATGAAAACATTAGGGCTAGTGCGGCGAAGGGGAGGACGGCTGATGGTGCGATTTAACTCGCAAGGCTCGGCGTATTAAGCCAACATCTTCTTAGAAGGCGCATAAGCAGGCACTAGGGTCGACGCCACCTCATCCCCTGTTTCCTGTCATTTGTAGCAGGCAGCCAGCCATTCAGCTGGTTCACAGCTAACGCTCATAGAATGTCTTCTAGTCGCCTGACCCAGATGCGTAGCAGCGGGAGGGGACGGGCTCGTGGACCGGTACTGAGGCTGGAGAAGTAACAAAGCTCAGCGGGCTTGAACCGGATTAAGCAAGAAAATAATTTGCCATTCGTGCCTTTTCACCAACTCCTTATAATAAAAAGAGCAGCAAAAAAATAAATACGCACACTCCCACTCACACACGCGTCGAAACACTCACCACCGCACAAATGGCTGGCGCTTCCTTTTTCATTTCTTGTCTTATTATATGTGCGGTGCGGTGGCAATACAAATGGAAATGGAACTCTAATGTAGTATTCCCTCAGCGTGCGCGTATTAAGTCGCATAAATGTCACCAAGCATACAGGCATCCAAGCATCCAAGCATCCAACCAACCAACGATTCAACCAACAACCAACCAACATTGAAAAGACAATAATGCTTCGTGTTCTATCCTGTTCCGTTCCCGCTCCCTTTTCCAATCCCGGTTCTGGACCCAGTCCTCCTTGCCGTCATGTTCGAAAGCTCCCCACGTCTCTATGTGGTGTGCGTGTGTGGGGGTGTTGACGTGTTGGTATTCAAAATAGCAGTGAAAGCAATAAAACGCACATAATAAGACACTAAGCCTTATCCACAATATGCGATACGTATATCAGACTTAAGGCAGTAGGTCGCCAACGGTCCACGCCGCACTTACCAAACAACCTTCCAACCAACCACTTTTTGTGATATGTCACGATGCCGCTATAGACGTCAAAGATTGTTCCGCCACCTCCCATGGCTACGGGAGCATGCATAGGTATTAAGTACCCTCATTATGCCTCTGACACGGAGTCGAAAGTAAAGCTTTTAGCAGCAAAGGAATGAAGGCAGAAAAAAACAACTTAATTGTGCCTGCAAATTGATGGAGTGAACGAGTATATATAAATTTTTTTTGGTGGGTGGAGGAAGGAATGTTCTATGGTTGTAGTTTTTGTTGTTGACAATTTCCCTAGAAATTAAACAGCAGCCTTTAGAGAATGATCAACGGGTTGCCAATGTACTGTCCTGTAAACTGTCCTGCTGTCCATGGCACATGCCCGGTGTCCATTAAACGCTAAGAAATGCAAAGAAGCAAAAGCACAAGCAGTGTTAATTATCTGGCACGATAATTATATTACAATAGGCTTGATTAGTTTTTAATTGAATTGTGCACTTCATGCGGCATCCGTAGATAAATTTAAACACTTTTGCAGAAGTTTCAGCAGCAAGCTGCAAGAAAAGAAGCAGCAACGGTGTCAGAGCAGAAGGTGAGCAGAGGGTGCACGCACACAAGTAGATCAAAATTCACTTGCAGTCAACCACTTGATAGCATAGAAAATAAAAAGGGGAAGTTCATAAAGCAAATTATGGAAAAGGCTCATAAAAGAGCAATTCTCAAGATGAAATACATTTACAGAGGGTGGGCGGGCGCTCGGGCATTTACTGTTGGCACTCCGTGGCTTGGCAACTTGGTAACAGACTTGACACCATTTGGAAATCAATTTTTATTATAAAATACTTTGACTAATTTAGGAAAACAATAAACGAGTCTGCAAATCAAACTTTACTTAAACCCCTCCTTAAAAGTTCATTCACAAAGCTATTGTGCAAATTGATGACTATAAATTCAATTTAATGTGCGTTCCCCGTTCCTTGCTCCTTTCGATATGTAACGCACTACATGCCATGCTATTGCACATCGACTCAGTCAACCATGAGCAAGGAACACAGCACAAAGGCAGAGGAAGCGGAGATGGCAGTAGAGCAGTCGAGGACGCAGATAGGGCCGACGACGAAGACGAGCGCATCTCAGTTAAACGCACTTAAGCAAAATGTGGTCATCCCCCGATAATGAAGCGTTCAGATGAGGCGAGATGGACCGAGCACTCGCAAAAGCGCTCAAGAGCAGGCGACAGCGTCGAAATTCGCGCTGCTTCCGTCGCTGCTGTGTCCCTGTGGTGGCGGCGCCAGTTCCGAGTGCGACAACAGATAATTAGAGCGAGCAGAAAAGTCGAGTCGCTGTCAACGCCGACCTCTTATCAGACTCAAAGCCTTTGGTTCGACCTGATGCTAACATACTCGCTACTCCACTCAATGCCATTGCGCAAGCGTATGTATCCGCGCACAAGACTCCCCTGCGCTTAGGTCATCGTTGTTGAGTGTTTTCTGCTCAAATCACAACTCGATGCAGCGTCGGCGTCGCGTTGCGTCGCGCCGCGCCGCGTCGTCCAGCGTCACGTCACGTCGACTGCGATGTCGATGGCGATGGCCGGGCATAAAAAGCCAAGCGTCTGTTTGCACACTCCTACTCCATAGCCGCACTCGTAAGGCTGAAGTTCACTCACACTGACGTAATGTGTAAACTTGTGTCGCGCTTGCATCGAGACTGTGCGCCTAAAAGGCGACTACAAATTGAAGAGCATCAGAATCAGCAGCCAAGCTCAGCAGTTCAGTTTAGTTTAGTCCAGTTCGTGTGTGCTCGTAGCCGCGTTCGCAGTTGCCTTCGTCAAGCAAGCGCAAGCACTCACACATATACACACACACACACACACATCCACATGCAAGTCAGCTGCAATCGATTGCCGAGCAAACACACACAGTGTAGGAAGCATGCAGGCAGCAAACCCGCCAGTACTCGCAGTTCACACCAGTCCACCACTGCAAGCCGAAGCTCTCGGAAATGAAGAAGACGAAAACGACGATGAAGGCGTCGTCTAAGAGCACGAGAACAGCAACGAGGGTACCAGTGTGCCGTGGCATGCTGGACTGTGTCAGTGTGTGTGAGACAGCAGCGGTGCAGTGTTGCCAGCGTCGGTTGGAATTTTGCTGACGGAATAGTTTTCGTCGCGTTTATTTAAACAAAGCACAAACACGGAGAGATAGCATTCGCTAAAAGCGCCTAGAAATCATGAATTTCATGGGTATGATAAGAATTCTCAAACCTAACTAACGCAATACAAACCAAACCAAAACTAAAACCAAAACCACATTCAGATTCTGAACCAAAACAGAAAAACAAACCAAGCCGCCTATCCAACTCCACCCGTTGTTTTCTTTTCTTCAGTTTCTTTACCTCAAACCGATTGGGTTATACAATATTGCAGTTTGACTTGCGATTCTCGCGAATTTTTATCTATATCTACCGAAATTTCATTTGATTTCTTTCAACTAACGTTAACTCTCACATGCAATCAACAAACACACTTCTACAACAATACCACCAACAACAACAACAACAACATCCCTAAAACGGCACTGAATGTAAGTTCTTTTCAATATACAATACATTCAATACACATACGAGTACATATGTTATGTATATATGCATTTTTGTGTAAACATATGCTGAGAAAATCAATCGCTCAGGCCTCCTCTTTGCCCCGCAACTCACGGGAAATTGTAATTACATAGTTGCTGCCATATTTATTATCGATTTTTAACGCCATACTGCAGCGTGTAAAATCATAGTGAAAATGCAAGCATAGAAAGCAAGTCAAAGGAAAACAGCGTGGCCGTAGGCGAGAAAGAAAATGTTCAAGGTCTGCCGCCGGACCAAAAATGCTCTGAACAACTTTTGTATTTATTGTTAAAAGCAGCATTGTTTGCCCTGTCATGGCCGTCAAGTGTTATCTGTGCCACTGTCACGTTCAAACTCGAGTTGGCTTAATTAAGACAGGCATCTATGTTGCTGCACATAGAGCGGCTCCCCCGCCCGACAACTGAAGGCCTCGCTGAACTCCGGCGAATTGCGTAAGACAACGTCCAGGAGGTGGCGTTTTTGCTCCTGCTGCAGTGCACCCTGCCCGCAGCTCACAAGCGTGCTGCCAATAAAATAGAGTCTCTTCAGCGTTAGCCTCAGGCGTCCAACGGCAAGTACCTCGTTCAGTCGAGTCTGCAGTGGAGCAGACGCCTCCTGACTAAACCATTCATTATAGCAGTGCAGTGTTTGCTTCTGGGCGAGTAACGATAGCAATACATCATTAGCATTTATTTTGGAACGCGCCTCTGCTGATAGGCCTCGTCCTGTGCACCTCTGAAATTTGGAGAACGCACGCTCGGAGTCCATGCTGCGCCAGGCACCAGGAGTCCGGCTACTGCTTCCGGCAGCCAAAAGACTGCGCGCAAAGTGTTCGCCCACTAGCAAGTAGTTAAGGGGGGTGGTGAGGGTCTGTGTGTCCAGTAGCATATTTACGGTCCGGAAAACTTGCTCATATTCCTTCACGTCCTGGGCGACGGGACTAGGCGGTTGTGTACGCTGATGCCTTTGTTGGTTGGCCTGAAATCGATGCAGCTGCTCCATATTGCGATAGAAGTTGAACTTGTCTATGGACAAGGGACTGTAGCTAGCATCCAACTGATCATCACCATTTAAAGTGAGGTGCATTACCCGTCCCAGAAACTGTTGCGAGCTCTGCTGTGACATCTCATCAATCCAGCTGCTGTTGGACAATTGTTCCTTGTTGGCCTTGCCAATGGCCGCATACATAGCTGCCATCGTGGCACGGTCGCTGCTGGCATACTGAACCACATGTACATATATATCGTTCAATTGGTTCTTGGTCAGCTGGTGGCAGTCCAAGTCGGCAATGTCTGCAAATAGTACAGTGTGCAACTAGACGTATCAGCAATATTTACAAATATCGCTTATACGCACCTATTAAATAGTCAATCCAAAGCCAATTTAGCAGCCTTGACGGGCTTGTATTTTCCAGCAATGTTAAAATTGCCAATAGCTTGGGCAGCTCCTTGAAAACGATGGAGTCGCTGGGCTTTAGAGGCTTACCCAGCAACTTCTTAAAATATGTATCCCAGTTCATGGATCGCGAAACATTTCCTAAGGCACTGCGCTTAAAACTCTCATAGGTGAACTCCACCTGATCATCTGATACATTTGACTTGAGTATATCACGTCGGCTTCGCTCCAGATTGAGCACCTCTAAGGCCACAACTGGCATACGATTTTTGTGCACCGCATAGGAGCGCATTACCTCACCCACGAGCTGCTCAAAACGACTCAATGTGTGCCGCCGTGTGGCGTCTGTTTGCAGTTCCACTATCCGCTTGTTTGATCGCATGCTAATACGTGTGCCAAAGAAACGTCCTACGCCTGTCTCATGGAAATGAGCCAACAACATGAGCCAGGTCTGATTGGTGCGCTGCCTGGCCACGGTAGTCTCCAGAGCTGGCCAGCCACCGCTTGTTTGATAGAGGTAGGAATTCATGAGCGCACTTGAATCTCGGCTTATCTTGCACGACTTGTAGAAGTTCTTTAGCTTCAACTCCATGTCTTGCAGCTTATCCTCGTTTGCGGCGGCTATGAAACGCTCAAAGCGCTGCTCCTCATGCTGCAGACGCTGGTCGCGCAGAGATTCGCTTAGATTTGCTGTGCGCGAGCAGACATAGCCATAAAAATCCTGACATGGCTGCTTCTGAGAGTCCAACAGACGTTCCAGCTCGTAAGAAAAATGTAGTACATCGTTCTCTATGTTCGCAGATATATCAACTGCGCAGACAAGGGGCACACAGACTAGCAGAAGTACCTGCAACTTGCCACAAATCATTTTTAAGCTTTGCAAATGGGGCAAATAATAATCGTATACGCGCCAGACCACCTGCAACTTTCACATGTGCCTTGCAACTGCAGAGCGTTCTTTCAATTTTCACTGCGTACTTTTCACTTTGGCGCTATGCGAGGTCAATAAGGTCAGCTCACAGTGAGGTCGGACTACGCAAGGTCAATGGAAGGTAACCACGACAGGTTAAGCTTGTAATTCACTTCCGTATCTTGGTGTATTGTTTTATAATTTTTGAACAAACAAACCCCGCACACTCTTGATTTTAGACTGAGGCGCCACCGCCTAAAGCTGCCCGCTAATCGCGCTGGCATTAGCTAGTCTGTAGGAACTGATAACCTCTTGCAATCTGCGGCTTCACCGTATAATCAAATGTGTCAGAATGCCAAGTATCATCGAAATAAATTGGCCTCGGCCGCCTTTATGTGGTTTATATAATCACAATAAACCACACTCCAGACGGTCACAACAATTTACTTGAGTAACTCTTTATGTGCCTCAACAGAACAAGGTACGGTATCAGGACAAGTTGCTTATTAACGAATCTGAGGCATATAGCGCTAGCATAATGTGTATCATTGAAGCTTAGAAAATGCCTTTACATTTGTCAACCCGGTCTTACTTTGCCCTGTAGGCGCTGTAGGAGGTGATGGCGGCGATGATGGTGATGACAAGGAAAAGGCAGAGGAGGAGGAGAGAGAGCGCCAGGAAGCCATACGCGAGGCTGAGGAGCGACGCAAAGAAAAGCACCGGAAAATGGAGGAGGAGCGCGAAAAAATGCGACAGGACATACGCGATAAGGTGAGCTTCGGGCACAATTTCATTATGCATTACATTATGAGCTGGAAAATATAATTCAAATTTAACGTGCGTGGTGGGCGATGTGTGATGTGAAACTTCCGCTGTAGTTCAAATTGACTCTAGTAGGGAGTCCTTTTTATGAGTGACTCCCTAACGGAGTCAGATTGAGGTACAAAGGAGCAAGACAACGATAACAAAGAACGACGCCATTGTGTTAACTGCTAAGAGAGCTACTTGTATTACCTGTTGGCCCATTTACATGATATGCCAATTGAACTGCTTTTTCACAGTACAACATCAAGAAGAAGGAGGAAATTGTTGAGGCTGCGCCGCAAGAGGAGCCCAATCCTTTGATGCGAAAAAAGAAGACACCCGAAGAGTTGGCTGCCGAGGCGGAGCAGGAAGAGCTCGACGATTTTACAAGTGAGTCGACTGTGAACTGACATTATCCTTGCATCTTAATTCATAATACAGCTTAAACTCAACTTAACTGGTATTAAATTATTACTAATCCAACTAAAAAAGGCGACGAGAAAGTCGGCTCTTAGCGCTATGTGTAACTGTATGAGCTTTTCAGTTTTTTCCTTATAGTTTGTAACTTCTTTCCCAAAGTCTCGCAGACATTGCCTGAAAGCCCTCAAACCGATCTAATAAACGACTACAACTAAATACTAATGCTACAACTAAAAACATTCTAACTGCCAATAAATAACACCTTAAAACATACATTCGGAGCTTGAAAGTAGTAAATGTCTGTGTGTACTCGTATCTCGTAACCAAGTGCTGTCGAACTATCTACTATTTATGAAGAACTGCATACTAACAAACGCTATCTATCTACTATATCTACACTTTGTTTCCTGTGCGTATGTAATGTAAACTCTAACTATATATACTAACTCTATCTAACTAACTATGTATCTAAATACAAACTTCAGCTATAACTTCGATGCAACGAATGAAATACGCCTCTCGTCTAACTTCCTACGCTAAAAAGTGTGCACCTCATTTTCTCAGTTTCACTTATCTACTTATTTATTTCTGTTTACTTTTGTTTGTGCGCCTGACATGCACACGAACATGTGTGAGTGTTTGGTGCATTTGTGAATAGAACTAACTTCCCTTTTTATTATATTTGTATTTAATGATCAGAGTTCATTACGTATTTAATTCGAAACTGGGCGTCATACGTACATGCATAATTGATGTTAGTAGACAACGAAGTGTTTTAACGTTGTCTTTAGGTTTCATGCCAGTAATTTGTAATCATTTGTCAGATAATTATGTTATTTAGTCTAAGGTAAGTGGTAAAATTCGTATATTTTTATTATTTTTGTGTGGTAATCTAATTGTAATACATTTGTGTCCATTGTACTCAACAACAAAAACAACAACAATTTTCAACTACTTCCTCTCTTTTCTCTATCCCTCTTAGTCACAAATCGAAGTCAGCTAGTTAGAAATTAACAAAGTTAACCAAACTTCTTTTTACACTCATCTCTATTTAAAAACCAATTGACACTTGTGCGAGTACTATACAAGTATATCGAACTTGCGCGTACAGTGCACTTTTCTGTCTAAAACTGTCTGGGAGGAATGATATTGGGGACTCTTTTGGGAGCTGATATTTAGGTTGAAAACTGAAAATAAGTATATATTTAGTTTCAATTTGCGTTTTGATTTTCAATACATTAAACTCACCAACTGCACTATCTAATTTAACGAAGTCTTGCATCATTTGTATACTCTTTATCATTTCGATTTTAAAAGCTTGCGTGAACAAAAAACTACACAAATCTCTAAATATACAATAAAAACTGTGAAACTTGTGATACTACTAACTACAACAACAATGAAACCGAAACTGTAAAACAGAACACACCTTTTCCCTCTTGCAATTGTTTATTTCTTCTTCTTCGTACATATGTATTATATGTGTTTTACATGATGTCCACTCGTATGTGAAATATATATAGTGCATATGCCGTATATATATGTGTATTTTCCTCACACCATTTATCTATCACACACGAAATCTATCGCTACCGATTACTAACTAATTTTGACACTACTATTCTTCTACTACTTACTGCTACTTACTATATAGTATACATATGTATATCTGAACCTTTAACGATTGCTACGACTTATATCACACATACTTGTACTACTACACCTATTACCTACAGCCCCCAAAAATACCGCTAAATTGACAGTTACAAATAAATATACAGCTACAAATGGTAGTCCATGTTCACTAAGATATTCGTTTCGACAGTTTTTGTTTGGCACTAACATTAGGAACTTACACTTACTTACTATACTATACTATGTACGGGTTTATTATGATTATCATGCGCTGAATGTACACGTAACTAATACAATCACACATGTGAACATTTCCGTACTGTGCACCTTTATGTTTTACAGTTACATATGCCAGCAGCACCCACAAATACATATATACATACCAGTTAACATACCTAACATTTGTAGTCTACTCTACAAAATATGCTTATTTATTGCTGTTTCCATACTCAATTTCTTTTTACAGAACTGAAAAATCAAATAGAAACGCAAGTAAATGAGCTAAAAACTCAAATAGAGGGAAAATGTGTCATGCAGTGATATGTCAGATATGTCATCATATGATAAATAAATATATATATATAATATATTTATTTCAAATGAAATGAATTCAAACTGTTCATTTGAATTCGTTGAAACGAAACCAGTTAAGTTCAATCAATCGCAGCATATAAATGAAAAAATCATAATAAAGTTAAAATACTACTCGTATTAATGAATCGGCAGCAATAAATTGAGCAAATAAAGTAAACCCCCAATTCGAAAACTACGGATGTGAAAGGCACATTAAGCATTATAAGATGATATTAATAATAATATAAAATAAAATGTTGAGAATAACGGAAAGCAAGCGGTGAAATCCTATTGAATTTTAAAAGTAGCTAAAACCTAAACCGATCAATTTATAAACGAATTAAACAAATTGGAGAACATATGTACGAGTATAGTAAACGCCTTTAAGAATATTCAAATCACATTTGCTTTGATGATAATGTAATATACTCAAACGAATTATATAAAAACTAACCGTTATTTAGTTGATTCATAACAAAATCAATCGAGAACACTCGAATCAAATGAACTCATACAAAAGGTGCGACAGAGGAGGGTTGCTGAATCAAGTCGAGCCGTCGAAATACGTTGCTGAAAACACTTTGGACTTTAATGAAAAACAATGTTGTTATAATTTATAAATATATTTAAAAAAAAAAAACAATGAAAAAAACAAAACAAATAAATTGACTGCAGAATCGTTGAAATTACAACTGGTATTCAAATACCACTTTAAATGCTTAACAAAAATTCATGACAGTTTGTTTCTGAACTCTAAGAACTCTTTTTAACAGCTGTTACATTTTGTTTTCTTCCTATACAAAAACATACACAATACCACAATTGAGACATACTCTAAGCTTTTTGAGAAACTTACTGATTGATGCTTCTGAAATGTAAGTAAACTAATAAGTACATTACAAATCTTGACTTCAGTTTGATTACACTTAATTATTGTTTCACACATTCTCGTATACTACTTATATATAGTATGTATGTATTTATCGTATAGAATACAATACAAATACAAACACCTTGACAAAGGCAAGTCAGTGGTATCCCTGTAGGCATTACTATACATAAATAAATAAATATACAAATATAATAGACGTAGTCGTTTTAGACAAGGACAATAGTTCATAAGAGACGCTAGGCAGTTCAAGAGCATAATGCTGTGATACATTTAGCATACATTTTTCACCGATAAACGAACACGTTTGCAAGCAAAACCAACGCCCCAAACCTAATGCATTAACAGGACCTCATGCATGCTTCAAGAAATTCTAAATACTATTACTTACAATTCTATGAATACTAATACTCCACATGAACAGCAAAGCGTTGTTTTCAAAACAACAGGCACTTCGGCAATATTCGAAGTGATAGACCCTTTACAATGTTTAGAATTTGTACGGCCTCCATTGGTACTTATATATGTACATACTATAATTTTTCTTCTCTGAAACATTGTCGTTGTCTGCTTCGGATGTCCTTTGTAAAGGGTAGGTACTTATCAATATAATACAATATTTTCTAATGCTTATGCAGAACCACCAGAACACCACCAAAACTGTATATATTAAAATGATTCACCTACATATATAGCCCTACACTAAACTTTTCTTAAACGAATGCGAAATTGTATGCATGGCTGCAAATACGAGTCGTCAACTTCTCAAATCTCGGCCTCTCAAATATTGAAACACCACTTTGGTGTGCTGGAAACTGCTATCAACGTTATGAAGTGACACCATTGTTCCGAGGTTGCTGGATTTGTTTGTGGTCGGCTCGTATATGTACTATATATGTTATCAATATAATAATCAGTACCAATTATGCTCTTTCCAAAGAACGAAGACTTTCAAGCTACACCATTATTCGTAAATGCGTGTAGTATAATATTAAATGTAGAATTTACGATTTGAGCACATGTTCATACACCTGAATGACTGGAAAGGGTATCTGCACTTCGGTTCTTCGAAGATGCCATTTCTCATATTTTTTTTATATATTCTATCAATTTACTTATAAATATACCTATAAATATATAAATATATACTATACATATATGAATAAATGTTTTAATCACACTGCATTCTCTATATCTCTCTCTTTCTCTGGTGTCTCTCTCTCTTCTTTTGATTTGAACACTCTTTTGAATCTTTAATCTGCGCCACTACTACTACTCTGCCTAAAAATTATATTTGAAAACTACAACAACATTGCAACACGAAACAACAACAACAACAACTCTACCAACTCTCAACCACAACGACTTGCTGGTCTCTCAGACATACCTATGTACTCTCGGTGTTTTATATGAAATATCATCAACAATTACAACTACAACAGCACAAGATAACAACAACAACCAGAACAAGAACACCATCAACTACATCTACAACAAAAGTAACTTCAAGTGTATATGATAGAAACAACAACAGCAACATAAACCGAATCAGACAAAAACAAAAACAAATACCAACAAGAAACAACAACAACCCATAGCAATACTTTAAACATTTTGTTATGTTTCTAAACGTTGTGGACTTAATTTGTTGTAAATCGTTATCTTATATAATTTCCACTCATCTCCACAATTTCACACTTCCACATACTCGTATCTATACACACACACACACACACAGACACACACACATACACCAACACACACACACACAGACTGCTCATAGTCGTCATATGCATTTAAATAACAAATAAATATGGTGTTGTAAATGTTTAAGTTATGTACAGATCGAAACAAATAAACAAAAAATGTACAATATGCATAAATACCATAAAAATATTTAATATGCTATAGTTTATGATAACAGCATTATCACAAGAAATATTTATATATATATAACAAATACCGAGGCCTTTATGTCCCTTTTTATGCTTTTATTGGAACAGCTTTGACATTCTTCAATCTTCAATCTTAAATGCTTCAAATCTGTAAATGTGTTTCAAACTACAAATCTACGCGTTTTTGGTTAATTTTCAGAATTATTCAAAATTTTCTTACGCAATAGTATCGGCAACAAATGCTTACATACGACGGCCTCTTCCGTCGAAATCGTCGCTTGTTTTTCTATCACTCTCTCTCTCTCTCGCTATCTGTCTCACTCTGTCCATCTGATAAAGCAATCCTTTAGTGCCCCTCGTTCCATATAAAGTTAGGATCAATGAATTGCCTTAATGTGGCTTATTTGAAACAGTGAAAATTTACTCCCTCTTGAAAACTCGTAGTGCATATTCAATCTTTCAACTTCAAGCAAATAGAACCAAGACAACTCTCATAAATATATTTTTAGATATAATGCAGATTAGTTTATTGCCCTTGCAATTCTAGTGTAACTAAACCAAGTCTTATGCTCCTTCAACTTCTTAGCTCTTAAAACAAAATACATAATTAACAAACCGCTTTCTATAGCAAATGTTTATCTAGATTCAACAATATCTCTACTGCGTTTTCTTCGAATATACGATATTGAAGGTCACTTTAATTGTTTAATATGTATAAGAAATACACATGAAGATTAAAACGAAGATCGAACATATTATTCAATCATAACGAAGATTTTAACTTAATCATAAATGTTTAAAATGTTAAATGGTTCAGCCGACTTTTGTTTTTGACGTTAATATTACAGTTATGATAATGTATGTATATGTATATCAGAAAGTTTATAGCGAACGGAAATTTAATAAAATTATATATATATATATATGTATATGTGTAACTTAATAGGGAAATGAATTTAAATAATAATGTTGAAAAGAAAACCATTCAAGCCATTATTAGGTGTGAAAGCAGTTCTACTCATATACACGACAAAAGGCGAAAAACCAAAGAAAACCGTTAATAGTTGATTAATTATATTGTTACTTTGAACATTTAATTAAAAAAAAAAAACAACAAAAAAAGTATAATAAAAAACGATATATATATATATGTATAAATATATATGAGAAAACACAACAATCCAATGGGTTTTAATTCTTAGGCGGTACCAACTGTTTCGTTTTAAACTTAACCCCCATACATTTTCTCTACCTCCATCTGTACCTCTATCTGTATCTTTTCAACAAATCAACCTACCACATACATTCGATTTTTGTTGTCTAGCTACACTCTGTGACTCTGTGCCTGATATCTGATATCTGATACGTATAGCGATCTTAATTTGGCATGACCGTTAGTCTAAATGTATTTACATACTTCACCTATCTTCCACATACCTATCTATCTACCTATCTACTACCATATACCTATGTGCCTATGTGTGTGCGTGTGTGTTTGTGTCTATCTTCTCTCTGTCTATCGATCTATCTGTTTTCTTGTTCTTGACTTTGTAATTATTTTTCAAAAAGCGAAGGTGCCCAGCCTATCCTTAGTACATACTAACCACTCTGTAAAAACATACATACATACATGCGTGTAATGGAATGCCCAACGTTTTCTACTAATAAGTACTACCTATGTACCTATGTACAAATGTGCCAATGTATGTACTCGTATTAAGCACACGCTAGGCAAACGTGTCTCAATAAATTAGAGGTCATAGAGCCAAGGTGAGTTAACGACTAAGTATCATTTGACTATCAGCATTACAAACTACTTTCACATTAATAGCCGCAGACCGTTCCCATAGACCTCCCATTGACGTTCACATTGTAAGTATGCCAAAAAGGACTTTCAAAGTTATGTTCAATGTTGTGTTGTACTATAACAGGCCACTTAATAACTTGGCAAAGCGAAGGTAGGTAAAGCCGATCGATTGCTTACTCATACCTCATCACAATCACAATCACACCAGAGCCATAGCCACAGCCACAGCCATAGGCAAAGCCACAGCCACTACCACAGACAAAGCAAAACGGCAAAGTTGCAAACCACAACAAATTGAAGCTATGCTAACCCTTAGGGAAAATTTGTCTTGTCACTGAAAGGGTGAAAAACAATCAAACTCTAAACAACTCTGCTCTTCCACTTTTATTTCCAATTTTGTTACCTTTGTTACCATGTCACTTTCGTAGGCAATTTTACTAAGTTATAAAAAGTTTGTTGTTTGGTTCATATTAACTGATTGCTTCTCGTTTTATACTTTCAGCAAAATTGAAAAAACGACTCAGTGATGCTTTTAAAAATTGCCCATTAAGAAACTTGTTTTAAACAAATCAAAAGGGCAAAGTGAAAAGAGGCGTGAGTCCCGCATTGATACTTTCGGTTTCAAAACATACTCGTAAATAAGAAAACTAACCACTACCAATACCACTACCCGCTTCGACTAACCGAAGCTTCCACGCGCATTTCAATTTCAAACTTCAACTTCATCGAGCATTATCTGCCAGCTCTTGTGCAGTAGACTTTAGTGACAGCCCAAATTTTTGTCTGAACTAGGCTTATGTATGTAATTAGTACACCCCACTCTACGATGTGCCCTTCAGTGCATTAGCAGCTAAACGACAATTTTTGATACCTTGACCAGGAAAGGATATAGCACAGCGCACAAAAAATACAACTAAAGTTATAATGGTATTTTTTGTATTTGAGTTTTTAGTGAGTTCATAAATGCTTATAATGTTCGCATACTTACATACTATACGTACATATATACATACATACATACAAACATGCATACATAGTATATACAAGTATTTGTAGCACATTTAGTTAAATATGTGTAACTGTTAATTATTAATTATCCGCGTTCTATTATTGCAGTTAGCCTTTGCGTATTTGTATTACAATTGAATTAATTCAACGATTAGTTTACTACTCCTTTAAGATAAACTCCAACTTCGGTTACTTCATAAGTACAACGATAAAACCATAGAAGCTATGCGTTATAAATGACTTAAATGAAACATAAACAAAGTGTGAAATACAAGATGAATAAACAACGACATTAGTTTAGAGCAATTAGATTAGATGAATTCATCGCATACCAAGAAGTTTTTCAAATGTGCGGCATGCACTATTTCTACAGATATTTAAATAGAATATTCGAAGTGTTTTCGTTTAATTGCCAAATAATTCGTAAGATTTTCAAAGTACCTGAAATTCCAATGACTCTCGTGGAAGTCTAAAATTAGATTAAGGGCCTTGAAAAGTTATAATGTATTGCTGAGTTTAGAGGAGTTCCAATAGAAGCTGCTCAACGACATTCTAACATTCTTACTCAGTACTTTAATCGTCTTTAATATTTCAAAACCTAAATTAAATACTATTTGAAAATTTTAAGAATACTATCTGGATCTTCGGTTAACCGATAGTCACATATCCTTTTCGAAAGCTTTTCCAAACGATTGTTAATTGTTAATAAAATGCAATCTGCTGCTGTTAATGAGTCCGTGATCACAAGATACAGATGTCGATTATTGATGGTTTCAAAACAAAATCCTAGAGCTGTGGACAACTAATGAAAGCGAATCCATGGATGAATATTCACATATACCCGTATATATCAAGCTGCAGCATGCATTCGGAACACCGAAACTTTGGAGAAGGATAAGAACATTTTTTACATCAATCACAGATAAAAACAATCATATCTAAACCTTAACGATTTCGTGTCTTAATTTTAAATATTAAATGATTTTACAAGTTATAGATAAAGCATAAAGCAAAAACCTAAACTCGAATAAAGCAAAAGGAAACCAGAAAAATAATTATAGCCTAAGTATATATAATTTACATACCAAAATGACCGACTGAAATTATTGTTAAAAGTTTTATGAACTATACTTGCATATATACATATATTGATATGATCAAGTAAATGAGTAAATAAAGAAATATATATACACAATTCATAAAAATATATTAAAGTTTCTATACCTTAATCAATCATAAATTTGCGATTCAATATATACACATACAAGTGTAAAGATAGATGAATTTAATTTAATTTTAAACGACGGCAAAACATCCCAATGAAGCTAGCTGTATGTATAGAGTCATATACAAGTACAATTCGATAAATCGAATCAAATCGAATCGAGAAAATCGATCAATAGTTTCGACATAAGCAGAATGAAAATGAAAATGTTATTTACTTTTATAAATTGGAAAATGGACAAGTTTAGCATTTTAACAGATCTACATATACTGACGGTCTTTAATGTCGTGAGCAAACCAAGACTAGTTCTGAAAACAATACTGAATAATAAAACATCTGATAATCCACAAAAGTGACCGATCAACTTAAGCTTTCTTAAAAAATAATAATTACTACCTAGTGAGTTATTTAAACAAAATACAAAATAAAAATTCCTGCATTTTCAGCAAGAACAAGTAGAGGAACTAAGTAATACAGTTCTCATCGAATAAAAATAGACATACATATACATCTATGGATTGTGTTGTATTGTATTGTATTGCTATGCATTATATTGGATTATAAGTATTGAATTTTAATGTACTGCATCGGACTATATTGAATTGCATTGTAATGTGTTGTATTTATTGTTGGATTGTATTTTCATATAATATAGAAGGAGTTAATTTCAATAAAGAGTTTTTAATGCATTACAAACCACAATTTGAACACTTCTTTCATTATCCCGTAGACAAAAACATAATTATTCAGTAAGTACCTGTTTGTTTAACTTTGCCAAGAATAAAGGCTCATCAACAATAACCTGCCCACTCTAATGCCTACAACCACACCAACACCACAATTGCCGCACAATTGATATTCCTCGCACTCTTTCACGATATGCCTTTATTGGAATTTGGTAAACTCTTCCTTGGCATTTCTTGCTTGTAAGCCAGCAACTTGCTGCTGCCATTTTGCGAAGGCGCATTGTTTGAAGATAAAATTCCAAAGTGTTTGGAATTCGAGGACTTGGCTGATGATGGTGCCGTTCGAGCATTGTAGCCTCTTGTTTTCTCGCCCTTCACCAAACCTCCCCCCAACCATCGCATCATGCAACAGCCTTTCAAAGCAGTCATCACCAAAGATGCTGCAGAAGGGGACTGTTCTGGACAACAAAATAGCGTTGGGGGCGAACACGTCCTACAAATCAATACAAAATACATATATCTGGCATATTTAGTTTAATTAAAAAAGTTCAGCGTTGTTTCTGAGCAATTGATTCCTTAACTGACATCGTTGACATTTTAATGCGTTCATTTCCGTTTGTCATCCAATGTGGGTGAGCTGTGTATTCCGTGCGTATTTACAAGTATTTCCATTACCATATTCAATGAGAACTGAGGACTTGTCACTTTACTTATATTGCCATCAACGGCTGTCCATGTAGTGGCGAAAGGACCAGCATTGGTCTTCAGCTAATTTTGCGATACCTATTTAATTTCAATGCTATTTCAATGCAAGTCTATGTCCAATAAATAAAATTGAATTAAAGTGTTGAGGGTTTTGCACAAAATCTATTTGGTAGAATAAAGTTTTAGATGTCTAGGATTTTACTGAGCCTTGTGAAATCAGTCAGATTATGCTGCACAACATTAATCAAATATTCATACGTCTAAGGCACTGAGAACCCTGCCATTTAGTTTTCGAGGAGCAAGAGTAAACGGACTCAAATCTTTCAACACACATGTTTTTTTGTATACATAGATATATACTTACGTAAATATGTGTATATATGTACATACGTAGAGTGTTGTCCTGAGCCTAGAAGAAACAACTTTAACACGCAGCATTTATCAGAAATCGCCATTATCGACCCCATGTACTTACAGAGCCCCGGAACTCATAAATAATGCAGTAAATGCTTTTAATTACGTATACAAACTGATTTCGTAACATATTCTGGTACCAGGTAAGCAAACCTACCATTGACCTGACCAGGCAGCCAAGTGTAAAGAGTCGTGTTTATTAGCCCACAAACCCGAGAAGAAGAGAGAACAGCAGCAAGGCACTTACACGCACACAATCACACATAAATACACACATCCATATGTATGTGCGAGTACGTACGCATCAGTTTAATGTAATAAGGATTGCCCGGCAAACTGGCGAGCTGGCGAGCTGGCAAGCGAGCAAACCCTAATGAAATGCATTGTCAAATGAAATGGTAAAATTGACGACGTCCTCTTTTCCTGAAGTGGCCAACGGCATTAAATCAGCAAACTAACTGCCACTTCCACTGCCACTAAGTAAACAAACACTTGCACCCACAAAGACCTCACACATGACCACCCCACAGGGGCACACACACACACGCACACACACACGCACACACACAGAGACGCCAGCACCCTCCATCGCCTCCGAGATCTAAAGTTAAAAGCACTTGTAACAAATTGAAATCATTCATCTTACTTTTCGCATTCATTTGCACTTCTATGCGTATAAAATACATTCACACACTTACAGTTGTGTGGGCAAAAGCACACAAACACACACACACACACACACACACACACACACACACACAGACACACCACTGAGACAACCCATTCCGTCAGCGAACGCGGACATTAATGTGGCTTTTATAATTCGCTTGGCCAGCCAATAGCTCTAAGTAGTTGAGTTTTGGGGTTTCGCCAGCCATAAGCAGGGCACGGCTAACTCTGAGTTTGGGAAATACATAAGCACGTACATACATATGTACGTACATACATACACCCATAGGTGTAGTGTATGAGTAAACCAATCGTTTGCAGCAGGACTGCACACAAATTAACGTCCGCACCAAAAACACATTTAATTAAATTACAGGAAGAATTGCATATACTATATATTAGAGTATGTCGTATGTGTGTGTGTGTAGTTACAATGCACGCAGATAAATGCACTGAAGATTGTAATTGATTTACTAATTTCAATTGACATCTTTATGATAGTATTCCAGCAATAAAGCAACATCAGTTAATTTCTTACAGATCTCAGGCAAAAAAGAAAACGCCTAACGCTATAGTAATTGCATTTTAGTTGGTGGGTATTGCTTTGATAGTGGATTAACTCGGGGGTGAAAGGTTTAGTGCGAATATATCTAACATCCAGAAGTTAACGCCAGTTGTAACGCCTGTATGAACGCAAATATCTCAAAATATAATAATGCTACTATAATCACTCTACTTGGTATTCATATTTTCCCAATCCTTCAGCGAATGGCTTAAAAAAATGTTCACCCAATTAGGTTTAATGCTTGCTAATTCTTGTCTTAAGTTTGGTCGATAGGTCTAATCCAAGCAAGTTAAAGCCGTAAAAGCTATATCGGCCCATACACTGCTAGCAACTGTATACAAAAGCAGAGTCACAATTAAGAAAGTAGTTCAGTAGATGATTTGGAGTCTATACTATCCGCAAGTTTAAAATCTCTGTTTGAATATACGTTTGCCCCATTTTGGGCAAGCTTCACTGTGCCCACGAGTGTACTACACGATGGAAAGTATGTAGTATGTACATGAAATTGGAAAAAAGAATATCGTGTTCTCGCTCAATCGACTTGTCTGATGCAGCAGCCACTCAAGTGGCTGGCTATTAAAACGAACGAAGACCTGTCACCGTCAAGTAGAGAGAAATCATGAGTCCATTCAAGCAGAAACTGTGATGATGAAGCAAAGGCAAGGGCATAGAATGAGAACCAGAAACAGAAACAAGAAATGGCCAAGAAGTCTATTAACTTCGGAAGAGGGGCAGATGTGCGCCTCCCTTTTTGAGTATGCTGGCTGGCTACTCTCCAAAAAGCTTCTCTTTGCCGGAATTACGATCTTCTTATTTGTGGAAATACACAAAATAAGCTGAAGCGTACACCCAGCTCTCGGTTCGCTCGCTGATAAGCCCAGCTTATTGACGTTGACTTGTGGGTATTTTCGGCTCGAAATTGTAAAGCCGCTCTCAGTGTGTTATTAACTGGCAGAGGGAGCCGTCCGAAGCGCTGTTGCTCGTTGCCAGAAAAAAGATTAAAATTATCGAGATGAAGCTGCTTTTGTTGTCACTGTTCAGCTTGGTGCAATTTATATGCCATACCTACGGCCAAGGCAAGTAACCAAACAAAAAATACGCAGGTCGATGAGCTGGCATTTGGCTGGTTCTAAACAAATTATATAGGACTGTGAAGAACTGGTTATCAGCGATGAGCCCGAACTTGACCTAATAGAATCTGTATAACTATCGCAAAAGTGGCCATGGGCTTTTGTTTTTTGTTTTTTAGTTTACTGCCTGGGCTGGGTTGGGGTTTACCAAACCAATAATTTCTCTTTAAACCAGCTCTTTCTCATTTAATTTATGACAGAAAGTTTTGGAAGCTGCATCACACCCTTAAGGAGTACTGGCGAATGCATAAACCTGCGAGAGTGTGCACCTCTCTACAACATTATATTAAGGAATCCAATTTCAGATAGTGATCGCAACTTACTGAGGCAAAGTCAATGCGGTTATCGTAATGGAGAGGTTCTCGTGAGTATAATAACGAGTTGAGTTAAGCACTTTATAAAATGTTCGCACGTTACTGATTGGCAGATCTGTTGTGCAAGCAATGAAAATACCAGTGGAAACTACAATTTGCTCCCCGAAATACCCAACTGCGGCAGCAGCTTTGGGGACCGTATTTACGGTGGCATTAATACAGGGCTAGAGGAGTATCCATGGATGGCTATGATCGAGTATACCAAGCGTAAGTTTAGCAAACAAGTAATATCTTTTCTGTTCGACGATTTCGAATTCCTTTCTCTATCTCTCCATTTACCTGTCTGGCTCTCTTTTAGCGGGAAACGAGAAAGGCCACCATTGTGGCGGCTCTCTCATCAACAATCGTTATGTTGTAACGGCCGCTCACTGCATATCTGCCATACCATCAAATTGGCGTTTGACAGGAGTACGTCTGGGAGAGTGGGACACAACGAGCGACCCAGACTGTAAAAGGCAGCTTAATAACCGGGAGGTATGCAACGACCGTTACATAGACATACCCGTGGCTGAAATCATTACGCATCCTCAATATCAAAACGGGCGTGACCAGCCGCATGACATTGCGCTGTTGCGGCTGCGCAGTCCCGTCACCTTCAGTCCAACAATTCAGCCCGTCTGTCTACCGACCGAGTCAAGACTACGGAATGAATTGTTCTTAGGTCGTTCCATGGTTGTCGCTGGTTGGGGTCGCACTGAGACTAACGCAACGGCCAACATAAAACAGAAGGCTCTTGTGGGTGTAGTTCCTACAAGCCAATGCCATAGTAAATACTCCACTCAGGGCCGCACCGTTACGACACAACAAATCTGCTGCGGAGGCGAAGAAGGCATCGACTCCTGCCGCGGTGATTCCGGTGGTCCACTTGTGATTGAGGGTGATGGCAGGAATAACCAATACTATTATCTAGTTGGAGTGGTGTCCTACGGGCCGACTCCATGTGGCCTGCCAGGTTGGCCTGGAGTTTATACGCGAGTAGGTGCTTACGTTGATTGGATAGCGCGTACCATTAAGGCATAGATATGAACTCGAAAGTTCTATGGAGAATTTAACGAATAAAGCCACAACGTCTTTTGCAATATATGTACACAAATATTCTATATAATTAAGGTGGTAATTTATTAAATTAATAAAACCTAATAGCTTCAAATGTACAATTAAAAAAGCGTGCAGATAAGCTTATGTAACAAAAAATTAAAGACCGTAGAAGGCTCAACATGTTGAGAAAAATGAGCGAAGCCGAAAAACTTTTTAGGGTTGTTTGGGTGTGTAATTCATGAACAATTGTTAAATTTTGGGGTAAAATCGGTGCTCTGCATTATGGTTACAATCACAAGCTCAATTTTCAGACTCGAACGTAAATTTAAGTATGAAGAGACTCCTACTGTTCTATTTACCTATGAACGTAAAGAGGCTAGTCGGCTCTGCATCTCCTGCAACTCTTCGCCTTCGTCGTCGTCCTCTTCCTCCACTGGGGCAGCCTTGGCAGGTGTCTTGTCTACTGGTGTGGCTTCTGGAGGCAGCGGAGCCTCACCCAGTTTACCGTCTGTGATTTCCCACAGCACTTTGTCAACCTCTTTGGCTGCCTCCTCCTCCAGCTCCTCAGACTCTTCGAGCGAGTCCATTGTTTCGTCTAGCATTTCCTCAATTATGCCCGCCTTCATCATTTCCTTCGACATGTCACGCATGATACCAGCCAGCTCAGGGTAACGCACTAGACTCTGCATTGCCTGCATCACCTCGGTGGATTTCTGTAATGACCCTGCCACACGCAGAGTCGCTATAATGGTAAAAGCCCTTCGTTAAATAAATCAAAATAAAGATAGCCTTTCAAACATACATAGCTGATTTTTCATCTGCATTTGTATCGAGTTCAGATGCGCTTTGGAGGTGTAAATGCGATTAATGGCCTTGCGAGCATTTACAATTTCTTTAGCCAAAATAACACAGGTGTCACGGTCGCTTTTCTGCGCCGCTTGCTTAAGGGACCGCTTTACCTTCTCCTCTTCGCGTTGAATGCTACGAATCTGCCGGTCAAGCTGATTGCCCTCTTTTCGTATCTTGTGTGTCCATTCTTGAACCTGCATGAATGAACATGACATCATTCACGGTCATCAGCCTCATTCTCAAGGCAATGAATCAAAACAACTGCGAAGGTGGCTGTGGTGATTTCATTTACCTGTTCCTTGGGATCTTTGCTGGGGGTCTTGCCAAATAAACCCATTGCTCTGTTTTTATGGGCGGTACGAAATTGGGTAATTAATTGTTTTTACGCTTTATTGTTTAAACCTGCGAGTGAGTCATTTTGTTTGGTGAGATGTATTTTCCAGCTACCACCCTGTTGAAAACAAAACACACAGTTTATCTGGCAGCCCTATCCCATTGTTTACTTACATTTTGGACAATCTGGCTATTTTTAAATGTGTTGATTACTCATGATTCATGAAAAGTATCGGTGAATATAAAACTGAGTAAGAATATGAAAAGTACCTTTCTATGACGGTCTGGGCGCTTTTGAACGCTGAAGCTGGAGCTCAGTTATGTCACAGCTGTTCTCAACGTGGAGCAGTCGCCAGTGGACTCCAATTTCAAACAGCGATAAATGCTGTATTAAAATTTAGCGGCCTTGCAGTCTCCCTTTCGTGCAATGCAGAACTCGCGACGGTGTATCAGCCTGCTCTGCGCCACGCTGCAAACGCACAGTATAAGGCTAGGAATTGGGACTTCCAATATGCGGCTTCTGCATCGCAGAAACAAAAAGCACGAGACAAACGTGTCGGCACTTTTCAAGCCGGTCCAAGTGCAGGCTAATGCCGATGCCGAAGATGTGGGCTCAGAGCTGGTTGGCAAGCTAGAAAAGGCAGAGCTGCTAAAAATCCTAAATAAATTCACACAGCGGCGCGAGGTGAAGGCACTGTGCTCAGAAAATGGCTTAGACTGTAGGTAGAGCGGAATACAATTTTATAACAAGCTACATTTACGTTATCCACAGCGTATTTGCAGCAGCAAGCCTTTGGATCTTTCCGTCGCTACTGTATCGAAGCGGAAAACCTGCCCGTGGACCTCCATATTATCTTCAGTGACATAATGCAAGGTGCTGGCCATATCGATGATGTGTTTCCATACTTTTTGCGCCACGCTAAGACGGTTTTTCCTCACCTTGACTGTATGGATGACTTAAAGAAGATCTCAGATTTGCGACAACCAGCCAACTGGTACAGCAATGCTCGAGCAATCACACGCAAGATCGTATTTCATGCGGGTCCCACAAATTCGGGTAAAACATACCATGCTATGGAGCGGTACCTTAGCGCCAAGACTGGTGTCTACTGTGGTCCACTTAAGCTGCTCGCCACAGAGGTATACAACAAGGCTAATGAACGTGGCACTCCTTGCGATTTGGTGACGGGCGAGGAGCGAAAGTTTGGAATTAGCGAGAACTCGCCGGCGAACCATGTGGCATGTACAGTTGAAATGACTTCGGTGAATACTCCATGTACGTATGTTTAGTTGAAATTAAGGCAACGTTAATTCTAAACCCATTCCAAATAGACGAAGTTGCAGTAATCGATGAGATACAACAGATACGGGATCCCCAACGCGGCTGGGCGTGGACACGTGCTTTTTTAGGCTTGATTGCTGATGAAGTGCACGTTTGTGGTGAGGCAGGGGCTCTAGAATTACTTCAAAAGATATGCGAGACCACAGGCGAAACGGTTGAGATCCGAAGATATGATCGCTTGACGGAACTTACTGTTGAAGATTCGGCGTTGGGAACGTTAGATAATGTTATGCCTGGCGACTGCATTGTGTGCTTCAGTAAACATGATATTTACACCGTCTCACGGGAAATAGAAGCGCGGTAAGTGCATTTAACAATATTGTACTTTGATCTTAGTGGCTAATGGAGTCCAATATTACCTTTCAGAGGCAAGGAAGTTGCTGTAATTTATGGTGGCCTACCACCTGGTACGAAGCTGGCGCAAGCTGCCAAATTTAATGACCCTGAAAACAGTTGCAAAGTTATGGTGGCTACAGATGCCATTGGCATGGGCTTAAATTTGTAAGTTGTTGCCCCGATTTAATGGCATATTGAAATCAATTTATCTTCTCAGGAGCATACGACGCATAATCTTCTACTCACTGGTAAAGCCCACCATGAACGAGCGAGGAGAACGTGAAATTGACACAATATCCGTCTCCTCGGCACTTCAAATAGCAGGACGAGCCGGTCGGTATCGCACGCAATGGGAACACGGTTATGTGACAGCTTTTAAGTCTGAGGACCTACAAACGCTGAAACGTATACTTAGTGATACGCCCGAGCCTTTGAAAAGTGCTGGGCTGCATCCCACTGCTGATCAAATAGAACTTTATGCCTATCACCTGCCAAACTCTTCGCTCAGCAATTTGATGGATATCTTCGTTAATTTGTGTACGGTCGACGATTCCCTCTACTTTATGTGCAATATCGAAGACTTCAAGTTCCTGGCGGAGATGATACAGCACGTGCCACTGCCACTGCGCGCCCGATACGTTTTTTGTTGCGCTCCCATCAACAGAAAGATGCCCTTTGTGTGCTCAATGTTTCTCAAAATAGCTCGACAGTACAGCCGCAATGAACCCATCACATTCGAATTCATCAAAAAAAACTGTGGTTGGCCATTTAAGCTTCCAAAAACAATACTTGACTTGGTTCACTTGGAATCCGTGTTTGATGTTATGGATCTATATCTATGGTTGAGGTGAGCGCGCACAAAAACTAAATTTGAAAAGTATTTTGATCCAAGATATGTTTCTTCTGCGCAGTTATCGCTTCATGGATCTATTTCCCGAGGCAGCAAATGTGCGGATAGCTCAAAAGGAGCTTGACGAAATTATTCAACAGGGCGTATTTCAAATAACCCGATTGCTGAAGAATACTGAAGCCAATCAGAATATGCAAGACGGAGAGACGATGAACTACAATGTGCGCCGCATTACCCACGTTAAGGAGCCACGAATGTCCAGTGCCTCGCGAGGGCGACTGACGGAGAGACTACTGGCTCAAGGGTTGCTGACCCCGGGCATGTTAAGCGAACTGCGCAAGGAGTGGGATGCACAGCAGCAAATGCCTCCCAAAGAGTCTGCTGATTTTGGCACAGAAAGCGATGACGAAGACAACTATGGCGGATTCAAGAAAACGAGGCGGAAGCGCAGAAAATAATTGATCTGTATATATGAAAACGTATGTATATTAATCATTTGTACATGTGTAGGGAGCATTAAAATGTTTGGATCGTACATACTAGTATGTGGATCAGCAGTTGTTTTTATGTTACCGATTTATTTTTAGTCGCAAGTAATAATAAAATTATTATTTTAATAAATAACAATGACAATTGATTTATAGGTTGCATTGAATGGTATAAATTACCTATTCCAGTAAAATATTTCACAATTAGTTAAAGTAAACTTATTAGCTTCCACCAACCTCCCAATAATTTATAATAAATACTTTCATTTGGATGGACTTCTACCAAAAGGCTTAAACAAAAGCATACGCTAGCAAATCATCAAAAACTAATGCACAATTATTTTTTTTTAAATTGTTTTAAAGGTAACATCCACACTTAGAGAGATTTATTAAATGGTAAAAAATGTATTTCCAATTGATTCAGTTCTATCGTTTTAGTGCCACAATGCCTACCCCTTTAACTATAATATTTAGAGCTCTCTTTAAAAAATAAATAGGTATGTACACATATATTTGGATTTATCGCAAGTTCACATATATCTTTATATGTCACAAAAACAGTTGACATCAAAAACATAGAGATTTTTTAAAGACATACATATAGTATTGCAAAATAGTTAATTAACTGTTTTGACTAAAACTTTAAAAAAAATTACAAATTTAATTTAGTACCGACGTTTATTAAAGCTTTTCATTTTAATGTTAGGTAAGTATTTACGCTATTCTTCTTAGTACTGTGTAGATTCACTTGACTCCAAATTTGAACTCCTGGAGCTAAGGGTCGTCTGCCCATTAAGCATGCCGTTCGCTAAAACTCCCATATTGCACATTATGTACTATATACTCAAGTAGTTGTGTATGTTTGTTAATAACTGCTATTCAGTTACACGTATCGCAACCGATCCGTGAAAGATTGAGTCCTGATCATGAACTCAACAATTTTTTAATTCTTCACATTTCTCTCACATTCGCTAAATATAGTATGTATGTAGGTAAAGATAGGTATGCTCTTCTGTATATGTATACTATATGTTACTATCCGTAACTTCCTTCAAACTCTCTCCCAATTGTAGATCTTTGTGCGTTTGAATTCTAAGGTACCAATAATTATGTTCATATCAAAAGTGGAACAATCCGCATGTTTCTTGGTAAAAATACAAGAATTTATTTGTATGCGTTGCGAATGCTATCATTAGTTATTTGCGTTATTCCATAATAAAAATGTGCAAGTCTTATAAGACCTTTTCAATAATCAAAACCTCGATCGGTTCAATAGTACTCGTATGTGATAATTAAGATGCAGAAATTGTAATTACAAAAAGGTAGTAGGCCTTTAATGCCCCAGATTCGTAGCCATCGAATAATTATATATTATGCATTATCACAAACAATTATAAAGTTCGAACTTGAGTAATAAGTTATATGCACTTTGCATACCATTGCGTATAAAATTTCCATATGCAAATGTAAGTGATTAATTTTCATTCACATTTTTCAAAGAATGTGTGCCAAATTTTTTTTGTAAGTTACAAATTTTTGTATCGGTTATGTTGAATGTACCTGGATTTTGGTTCACCAACACTTTCAAAATTTATTGCGGAACACGTCCGGCACAAAGATCGCTTTCTCGACCGTGCGGCACTGTTCCATATAAACAAATCACAAATTTCACATAGACCCCGGAGCATTAGACAAAGTCAAGCTCCAAGCCAGGCTCAATGTCGACCGCAACTGCATTGTCTGCAGGGAGTTGACTATCGCACTCTTCCCTTGCAGTCTTATCTTTGGACTTGTCCTTGAACGCAGCAAAGCTTAGTTTTTTGAAGGCCTTGCTGCGTCCAGAAGACTGTCCCAACTGTTCGAATCAGGAATCCACAAGCACGTGCCACCGTGCCAAAATCTCCCCCTTCGGCATTTCGCACACGTCCGTCCAGTGGGCAACCTCTTCTGGTCCTGATGAGCTTAGCCCCATGCTAAACCAACCGACCATTTCATTCTTCTTCATGTGCCGTTTTGTATGCACAGATACCATCAACGTGACATCGTTGAGTTGAAAGAGTGCCACTTGAAACACGAACGTCTCTTTGAAAAGTGGATTTGGCTGGCCGCGCCTAATTGACGTCTTAGCCCGCGAAATCTCCACACCTATACTGCTCACCATACAAAGCTTCACGTATGTGTCCGGGGCTTTGTTCAACGACAAGCTGCGAAACTGACTGCCCTTTATGACCTCTACGGTCAGACGGCCCGTAACGCCGTTATAAGCCAAGCCTAGCAGCAGCTCAGAGACACCTCCATGCTGCATGGAGGTGGTCGAGCCGGCACTATCTGATCTGGCTAAGCTTAGCAAATCGCTAGTTGATCCCAATATCTGCAATTTGGTAAATATTAGTATGTTTTCCTATGCCTCCATATATGCCGCTTACTGATGATGTGTTCCTGGGCTCCAGAGGTAGCCACAGGTTAGTCTCAAGCTCCAAATCCACGGTCGAAAAACTCACATAGGCTTCGCCTATGAGTCGCTCTTTACGCAGTCGCTCGCAACCGTAAAGGCGGACCCTCAGACCCATGTTGTTAACGTCTTCGGGATTAACCCGGTGTAGCAAGAAACTCTCCATATACTGCGGGTTCTCGCCACTTCGGATTTTGGTCTTGTGCTTCTGCTTCTTGTTCGGCAGCATTAACAAACGCACCTGTGTATGCGTTTGTTGACCATTGCCCAGTGGGGGCAGACAGCGCGCTTGCATTACATGGACCGTCATCTTTCGCATGGGAGCGTCATAGAGGAGCGAAATCTCCAATTCGATGGGTCCACTTTTGGCAAATTGCTGATCACTGACCAAAATATCATCGGACTTGATGGATCGTAGATCACTGGTATCAAAAAGTGGTTCCTAGGTATAAATCGAAATCAGTATATACATATGTAAATAAATTAAAAGACTGAATGCATTTGTACTTACATCATCATTGTTGTTGTTGTTGATAATTTGGGTGTTGTTGTTGTTGTTGTTATTGAAGTTAGTTATTGGCACCACTACCACACTGTCCTGCTTCTGTGGCAGAATTTCTACCTTTTTATATCTATGGGTCTTGGCACGATTCTCGATGGACGATGGAGTACCTAAACGAAAGGTAAATGATTTTGAAGCTTAAATCGGTTGCACTTGGACTAGGCTAGACTAATTGGTGTGAACATTATACTTAGTGTACTTATTGTATATATGCACGTATGTTAGTGTAATTACATTTGCTTTCAGCTGTCAATATGCCCGTTTGACTGTCCACTGAAACGGATGCCTCCATTGAATCATTTGAGCTGCACTCACTGTGTGATGATGGTATGCCGACCTTGCCCCGTTCGGCAACGGCCAAAGGGTCACGCGTTACTGTCACACGTTGCAAGTCGGCTTGATTGTAATTGAAACTGTGCGCTGTCAATGGATTCAACTGGCCGGCATTCATGCCATAGCCAACAAACTTGCCGTTCGGCAAGAGGTTTCGATTCTGCTGATGCCATCGCAAGCGCCGTAATATGTCCTCCTCTGAATCGGAGCTGGTATTCTCGTAGCGCCGTTTTCGAGCTACAGTCCCCATGAAATAAAACAATAGCAACATATTAATGAATAACATGCATCACAATATGAGCCTTTGGTTTTGATTACTCACTGATTTTCTGAACACACTTGGCAGCCAGGTGCCGTTCATCACAGCAATTTATGCCATGGCGGGTGTGAAAACAACATCTTCGACTTACATACAGAAATAACAATAGAAGCAAAACGAGCACACCAAAAAAAGCGCCTAAGAGTGTTGTGACCTCAACCGTACCTGCAATTTAAATATTTAATGAGTGCGCTGTAATTAAGTACACCAAACAGGTGGATATAGTCGACGACCATTGAGTTAAGTTGGGATTTCCAGCCCCTTACCATGAAGCACACAAAAAGGGATCAAGCATGAGAACTCACCCAAAGAAACATTTGTATCCACGCCAGATGTAACAATCATCTTAGTTCATGAGTGAGTTTGCTAAAATTCGTATGCAGTATTACACAAATATCCTATTCATTTATTTTCTGTTTATATTAGACGACTTTTGTCGCTTTCAACCAAATGCAAAAGCTCAGTACGTGACTGCGCTCTAGTACAGTATACATATGTAAATACAATCGATTTTTCCCAGGACAATGAAAACTTTGTTAGCCATTTTCAAAAATAATATAATCCAATCCAATCCAACTTTAACTTTTAAGAAATAGAATTGGTATAATGTTATAGCTCTACTGACTCTATTGAGACCTGAACAAGATCTCCTTAAATTATACGGCTTTTCTGACACGGATTTGATCAATTCGTAACTGAAGTTTATTGTATTATGGGCAATGCTGAATTAATAAACCACAATAATCAAAAAAGTATACAAAAATGTTACTGCGCTTCAAATCGTGCGGCACAAAAACTAGTTTCTTCAAATTCACGTTTGCAACAGTCCTGTGATAATATTTTGCAGTGTTCAACAAAAAAGCCATTGCACACTCGATAGGAAAAATACGTGAAAGGATGTGAAAGCTCTCTCCCCAAATACCAATGTATATGTATACATAAAGGTAAAAGCTCATTTTTGGAGAATACCCAAAACAACTGTTGCTTTTCCTTAACACAAACATCAAACCGAATTGGTCAAGATAATCCACATACGTATTTGCAATGATCTATAGATCTGATATCCAGGAAATTCAAATAAATATACAAAAAAAAACTATATGCTAGCTGCTTTTTAAAAACATATGGCATCATTGCGTGAAAACGGGCTAAACAGACAAAGCCGCCAATTCGTATGCAGTTTGAACTTTCGTTGCAGACCCAATAAACAGCGAGGGCTGCAGATATCTAATTCCAATTCCACTATTCCATTTTACCGCACATGGTATCAAGCATCGATATATCGATATAATATAACAATCGTAGAACAATTAAGGCAAAAGGAGCAGAGGACCTGTTATTTCCAAAAACGGCTGCATGAGTTAAAAATGGCAAGGAATAAGTCCACGGTGTACCTGGGCTATGTGGATGATGAGGAAATACCTGCAAAGGCTCCCTATTTGAACAGCTGCACGAATAAAATCGGCGGCAATCCTGTAAGTATAAGTTCAATCTATAGCCAGCTCGTAATTAAAATTGATTTTTTGCAGAACTGGCCGAGAAATGAAATTACTGTGCCTGCATGCCCCGTTTGTGGTATGTTGCGTCCTCTGATTGTGCAAATGTATGCGCCCTTGGAGCGATCACAATTTCATCGCAATCTCTACATTTTTGGATGTCTGAGTCCAGCTTGCTCCCAAAATGCCAAGAGCTGGTTATGTGTGCGCACCCAACACTTGGACACAGCAAATCAATTTGATCTTATAAGTGAGCAGTCACCGAAGAACACGGGTGGAAAGCAAAAGAAAAAGCAACACAACAGCAAGGCAACTAAGGTGAACTGGTGCAGTGGAGCAGACGATTGGGGCGAGCCTGAGATTGCAGAGGAAGACATGGATCTGGCTGGTGATGACGAGCAAAATGGAAATGGCAACGTCAGGTCAAATCTGCTGCAGTATGGCAACGGGGAGGCTGTGGATGATGAAGGTCAGCAGGACTTGGCAAAAATGGCCGACGAAGAAGATGACGATGAAAGCACATCTGTGGAAAACGACTTGATCTGTGGGTTCGGTCAGTTAGATATGAGCTCTCAGCAGAATTGTGGTGAAGATCCCAATGCGAACTGTGAGGCAGCCGCGGTGGCCACAGCGCGTACGGACGCGGGCGCAACAGCCATGATTTGCGCAGAAATCGAGGGGTCGGAGACGGATCTCGTACTGGTTGATACACCAAAAAAGCCAGAACGGGACCTCATTGCTTTGCTTAAGCACACCTCTCTGCCAGCAACGCTTGGACCACTTTCCCAACTCAAGGACATTACCCTGAAGTCGTTTTACATTGCCGTAGATGTAGAGAAAAGTACTATGCACGAAAACTATGACGGGGCTCTTTCGATGGATCACATACGTGACCTTTATCAGGAATATAAGCGACGAGATGAGGATCCAGCGCGTTCTCCGCTTTCTGTAGCTCCATCTGGTAGCGCTGTTGGAGCAGCCAGCGAACCTGTAGAGGAACAGGAGTCGTATGAAAAAACTTTTCCCGCCCATGGCGATGTTATGTTCCATAATTTCATAACAACCATTCAACGTAATCCAGGACAGGTCTTGAGGTAATGCATTTATAAATTTAATAGATCGCATGTGTGATATAAATACTATGCAGGTATTCGCGGGATACGCTTCCACTTTTGGTGGAACCGCTTAAAGAGCCGATTTTAAAGTGTCAGAACTGTAAGAGCGAAACTATCTGCGAGGTGCAGCTATTGCCCACGCTAATTCCAACGCTGCGATTTCAACAGGACGGCTCCTACGCACCGATTGAATTTGGCACCGTGCTAGTCTTCACTTGTCTCAAAAGCTGCTGGGATACACCCGACAAGATGCGCTACGAACACATTGTTGTGCAGTCAGAAACATAGAGGATGGGTTCATGGATGGGCAATGAACTTAGCGAACGAAATGGCGATGTTCTTTAGCCGTATGAAAATTATTTTAAACTGCACGTAGTCGTTGTCTCTTCGATAATGAAAAGCAAAGCTTCTCAATTATCCTAGAAAGATTTTATGCTCTAGCTCTTAAGAATGTTGTACGCTTTTAGACAGCAAATTCCAAGACCCATAGAAAAAATAGTTGCTAATACTATGTATTTCGTTATTTCTATTCACATTAAAAAGTTTCAATTACAGAAGAAGAAAAACAACAAGCGAAATTTTAGCGTAATTATCCGGAGATACCATCTTATGCAATTATTATTTAATTATAGATTGGGATACTTTTCACGGCCAAAAAAAGTATGAATTGGTTGCATGTTCATTTAAATTTTACAAATGGGCGAATATGCTTTGCATTTTGGTGATAGAGATCTTTGAAAATTGTACTCCGTAGACATATATAAACTCCTACTGTTAGCCTACAGAACCAGTTTCAATTTCGCAATGAAACACTTCATCGTTATTGGATTTATTTTCTTGATTTTGGGCGTTGTCTTGGTGAGTTGTAAAAAGGACGACTCCAGTATAAAATAAGAACTAATTTTGGTTTGATACGCAGGCTGACATGCCCCGGCCCGATATGCCACAAATGCCTCACGTGCCGAAAGGCATGGGAATGGTAAACTCTGGCTTTAGGCCGAAAATTGTTGGACTCAACCAACAACATCATGGACCTCCTCCGGGTGCGCCCCCAACGTCTCAAAATAGTGGAGAAAATCAAGGCCAAACTTAAAATCCGCATTCTAACGATGCCCATATTTTGTATCTAAAAAGATTTTGTTTGGGAGCAGGATAGCTTAATAAACTGGGTTTAACATGCACTTTAAATATGGTTTTATGATCAAATCCATAAAGGATGAAAATGAAGAGTAAAATTCAAATAATTTAGCAATTATTCTCTATTTACAAAATTCAATTTAGAATATGCCCGGGTTAGCCAATTGTTATATTTTTACAATGTTATTAAAAACTCAGGTTAAAGGTGCATCGGCATCATAATGGTAGCTTCGCACTGGTGAAAACCACAATGGAGGATACTTTGTTGCTGTAAGGTCGAAGTCTGAAGTTGTCTCAACTTTGTTACGCTTCTGAACCAGAGAGTAGTGCGACCACAGCAGCTGGACAAACCGTCGCTTGGGCGATGAACTCATTATCTGAAGCTCAATGACATATTGAGTGTTGTTAGTATCCTCATCAGTGAGCATAAGGCTGCCACGCCTCTGTCGCACATAGTTTTGTGTAGTCGCTTGCCTCGAATGCGCCTTTTGGAGGACTAATGTAACAGAGTTTCCGAAAAGTCGGTAGCGACCTCGTAGCACGTCTGCTGGACCCCTGCTATGCAGTTGCTTCAGCTTTGCCACGCCTTGCGCCGGCTCATCAGCACTGGTCATCATGAGTACTTTTCCGTCAGGAAGAAATCTTATATAACGGTAATACTCAACCAATTGTACCGGACGGTAAAATTGGTCTTGGAAACTATTTTCGCCCATACGCAAGTATGTCGTCTTGCTTATGTAACAGCCATTGAACAGAACGCGCTCCCGTCGCAAAAACATATCTCGCCAGGAGAAGTAGCAGGAGTCGTCAGTTTCATTGGAGTCCTGTTGCGCCAAGGTGCCCACGTTATGGCCCCATACCCTGTGTTATCAAAACACGCAAATGTAAATTGGAGTCCAACACTATCGTTTGTTGTTACTCACTTTATGCATGCCAGGCGCCAGAGTTCCTCATCCCGTGCACATACATAGAAGCCTTTGCATACGGATGAGCACTGATCGAGGGATTTCATATCTAGCTGAGCAGATACCACCCACCGCAATATATATAGTATTATTTCGGTCGGCAAGTCCGAAATATGCAGGGCGGTTGTTAGAACGCTGGAGTCACGACTATTTAAAAATATTCTGCCGCCGTAAATCTCGCCACATAAATCGCGACTGAATTTTCCGTAAAGATCTTCAATCACGTCTGCATCGTCATTCACTTCTGCATCGCTCTTGCTAATGGTCAGATGCTTGGACAAATCGCTGGCCAGGTTATGGTACTTATTGTTGGCGTCATGATTCAGTTTCTGTCGTTCATAGAACTTAAACTCTATATCAGGTACAATTTGCATCGCTTTCCGGTAATAGGGGAGCGCGTCGTAAACTTTTCCCTGGCGCTCCAGTTCGACGGCAGTGCGATAAAGGCTCTCAGCTCTGGCCTGCAGTTGGTCTGCTTCGGTAGCATAGGAATTTGTGGTCTGCCCACTGCTGCTCCCACCGCCCGCGTCTTCATCGGACTGTGTCGCTCCATGCAGCTCTCTCTGCCAATCCGCTCGGAACTCATCAAGTCGGGTCCGCACATCCGTGTCATTGTTGGATATGGAATCTGACATTTTAAATTTTTTTTGCAAAATGCAACTGAAATTTACATATGTAATTAATACTCAATGTGTCACCAACTATTTCGCAATTCTAACCTGCACATCTAACTCTATGGGCCCCGGGATCTCTATTCGTAGCTTGTCTATATTACTGCGGAAAAGCGTATGATAAAGGGTCGCGCGAATTGTTGATAAGGAGTGCGCGTCTCACCCCTGCACCATGAACCAATTTTCTTTTTCTGAATCTGAATACATGTGGCCATTGGTAAGAAGACCCGAAATTCCACTCACAATTACAGATCTTTTTACTACAAGGCGGAATGTTGTTACGAGGGCTGCAGAAAAGTAACTGCGACGGCGATTTAAAAATTGTTACTTTTTATTTTGAACTCCACCACACCAACCACACTGAATACCGGCATTTTGAACCGACTGACAAGACATATAATAAATAATAATTCATAACACATAACTAACGTTATTTTTCAGTACGCGACTTTAGGACATAAGATGTTCACAGAGCGTTATTAAAGTCACATTAGTTTCTCACGATTTTAATGCAGCCAGTATTGAGTAATGCTTTAAAGAAAGAATCGAAATCAATCGAAAATCAGTTGTTTAAACTGTTGCCGCACTAGCTCCTGTCGACTTGCTGTAAAATAGCATCATTATATGGTGACTAAACTCATCTTTCGTTTAGTAAGCAAAACATGTTACGTACATCCACACCAAGCTAATATACTTTTATACCCTGCGGGTACAAATATTCAAATACATTTTATAGTTCAGGGATACAACGCATTATCTATTTTGTTTTAATTTGTATTTCTAAAGAGGCGGAAGAGTGGAAATTTACAGCTAATTACTACACCGACAAATTAATATACAAAAACCAAAAATAAATAGTACAACAATTATTTGAAAATCTAATGATTCCCCTGGAAATTAGTCTGGAAAATTGACTAGATTGGGAATTGTAATTAAAACAAAACCTTAATATTACTCTTACTTAAAATGAACATACATTTGGATGACAAAACACTTTTAAATGAGTTTACAAATAAATTGACATCCTACATACAAATGGCTGTGATAGTTAGATCTTAACTAATATAATTCACTTAATTATAATTGTGTGCAGAGCCCAATGCGAACTGCAGTTTCGATCTTCTCTCCATATCAAATTTAAATCAATTAGTCTGCATTTATTGGATTGGGCTCTACATGCCATAGAAAAAACCATGAAGGTATAATTTTAAAAATAAATTTTTTAAGGAACATTACAAACACTCTCACCGTCCGAGCACAAACAAACTAATTGCTATGGCCACTCATCTGGAGAGGGTGCATCATGCACAGTGTGAAAACTAAGACCGGTACCTTCAGGTTTATGCCAAGATGGTAATAGAACAGTGCGCCAAAATTGTCTGAAAATAAAACAAAAACATACAATTGAAACATTTTTGAGGAAACAACTGTCAATTACCTGCCACGCACAAGCCCCAAGAAAATTTTCCAATTCTTTTTGGCGCCGAAATTGTAGGGATTTATATAAACTCGATTTTGCTGAAGTAAGCGTTTCCGCTCTGCCTCGTTTATGTGTGCTTCAACACTAGTTTCCCCTCGCGTTACAAGCTTGGCATGCCACGTGCAAAGGCTGCCAAGTGCTATGACCACAGCAACGTTTGTAAATGCCATAAACCACAAAGCATGCCTCCGACCAGCCGATGCAGTCTCAGCATCCACAACAGGTGTGGGAAGATTGTGTATGGCGGGCGGTAGCAAAATATCATCGTATTCGTGAGGGTGAGTCTATTAACAAGATGGTAAATAAAATATTAAAAACTCGTAGGAATCATGCATACCACTGGAATTATATGACCACTCAAGTTAAATTTTACTGGCTGTCCCTCAAGCGGTTCTGTCTCCGTCCAATTATCACCATGATCTAACCAAAGGTACTTGTGCCCAATCTCTAAGCCAAACATGATTAGAAATAAACAACCTATTGTTGTATATAGCATGTAGAGAAAAAAATAGCGATGATTTCCATAGCCGACGCAATTGTTGAGCCAAGCTGCAAAGATGTACAAGCTAACACAAGCTCATGGCATAACGATTTTACGCATGGCTGTACTCACGACAATGGTGATCCATCTTGAGAATGCAGCGGTTGCACACGGAACAGTGGTGCGTGCGTGGAGGCTTTGGCGCTATGCACTTCTTACACACGCTGACAGCCTCTACTAGAGAAACACCTTCTGGTGGGCAACCCGCTGGCGTTATCACAGCCATGACGTAGTGGAATACAACATTCAGTAGCAACCAGTTCCCAACGATAAGCAGTAACACTGTAGCCAATTGGCTCTTATTCCACCAAAAGGGCAAGCCTATCCAATAAGCTATGCTGACGACAGCAGTGGTTAAAGCAGCCACTCCCACTACAAAAAACTACAGAAAAATTCATACATAGTAATAGTCCAGACGAAAGAACATGGGTACTCCAAACCTACCGGTCCAAGACAATGTGTATAGTTATCGACAAACCAAAATATAGGCGTCATGCACACATCTGAAGCGTAAGAAGCATTCATATGTGCATTGAAAGTTAGCGAGTGCCAGCAATGTTTCATGTACGACCATCGAAGCCGGCATCTTGATCTTAAAGAGACAAAATAAAAGTTCAATTATTATACGCCTTGTGGTAACCCTTTTTTTTAACTCACACTAAACTTTGTGCTGAATTCGCGCGCCAGGTAATGCGGGCCATTGCGGCCTTTTATATTGTATTTTAAAGAAAAACAACTTTTGTTGATAGCAACAACGGGAATTTTGTACAAGTAGCCATCAACCCAAAGATGAGCCCCCATAAGTACATGTCACGAATTATATATGTAGCACCAACAGTTATGGTATCAAAGCATCGCTCATCTCTACATCGGTTATCGATAACTCAGGCTAATACAATCATTTTTAAAACTGGCTATATTTTAGCCTCTAAAATCGTCAAAGGGCTTACCATATTTCGAAAATGGATTCCACTCCCACAGAAAAGTAAAATATTTGTCTATATAATATGGATAGAGTATAATATCTTTTCAATAGACAAAACTCTGCCATGTAATGTTATTTAAATAAATTCATTTTTTGTACCCTTTTCCATCGTTTCTTTACACGTTTTGGAAGTTATATAAATAAAAAAATATCTTTTATAAAAGTAACTAACATTTCATTGTCTCAGTTTCAGCCCTGGTAAAATTGTGATTTGTAGTTTTGCCATGTTCTTTTTCCATCGTTCTTTTGTACGTCAAAATCGTTAAAAGTGAGTTTGCATTTTTAAAGCAAGAAGCCGGGTGTGTAACAACATTTTATTTAAGACTTATTTAGATTCAAATTTATTGGAGGATCGCAAACACTATGGCAGCTCAACAGCAGCTCAATATGGATGATGAGCGCATTAAAGCGTTAACCAATTACCGCAAAAAGCTGCTTGAACACCGCGAGATCGAGGCGCGTTTGAAAGCACTGCGTGACAATTACAAAGTTCTCAATACCAAATTTGAGAAGTCTGAAGAGGATCTAAAAGCACTGCAAAGTGTGGGCCAAATGCTGGGCGAGATATTAAAGCAATTGACACCTGACAATTACATTGTGAAGTCCTCAAATGGTCCGCGCTATGTTGTCGGCTGTCGGCGTCAAATCAACAAAGACCGCCTCAAAACGGGCACGCGTGTGGCATTGGATGTGACCACATTAACGATAATGCGTTATCTGCCACGTGAAGTGGATCCATTGGTCTACAACATGACGCACGAGGATCCTGGCAATGTGAATTACGCAGAGATTGGCGGTCTCAGCGAGCAGATTCGCGAGTTACGCGAGGTAATTGAGCTGCCCCTGATGAATCCTGATTTATTCTTGCGTGTTGGCATTAATCCGCCCAAGGGCTGCTTGCTGTATGGGCCACCTGGCACAGGCAAGACATTATTAGCTCGAGCGATCGCCTCACAGCTTGAGGCCAACTTCCTGAAGGTCGTCTCGTCGGCCATCGTGGACAAATATATAGGGGAGAGTGCTCGCCTTATTCGCGAAATGTTTGCATATGCTCGCGACCATCAACCCTGCATCATCTTCATGGATGAAATCGATGCAATCGGCGGACGTCGTTTCTCGGAGGGTACCTCCGCCGATCGGGAAATTCAGCGAACTTTGATGGAGCTCCTTAACCAAATGGACGGCTTCGATGCTCTTGGCCAAGTAAAAATTATAATGGCTACCAATCGTCCTGATACACTTGACCCGGCCTTGCTGCGCCCCGGTCGATTGGATCGCAAACTCGAAATTCCATTGCCAAACGAAATGGCTCGCATGGATATATTGAAGATACACGCAGCTCCACTATCCAAGCACGGTGACATCGACTACGAAGCGGTTGTTAAACTTTCAGATCAGTTTAACGGTGCTGATCTGCGCAACATTTGTACTGAAGCGGGCCTTTTTGCTCTGCGCGCTGATCGCGAGCACATTATTCAAGAGGACCTGATGAAGGCCGTGCGCAAAATAGCAGACAACAAGAAGCTTGAGACCAGTCTGGATTACAAGCCCATCTAAGTGGAGCTCACCATTGGAGTTTCTTAATCCCGTTCTTTATATCATATGGTCTCTGCAATAAATATTTAATATGTTGCAGTTCAATCTTCTGTTTGTTTCCTTTTCCTTCTTTTTTCAAAAAGAAATGGATTGGAAATTTCCTTAATTGCTTCTTTCTTATTTACACATTTTATTTGTTTGCATGCAAAACATAGTTGCCACTTTTAAATTTCTATTTTTTTAATATAATTAGATTATGGCCCTTTTTAAAGCGTAATAAGTGTATGTCTCGGAAATTCCCAAAAACAGACATGCAAACCACATAAGTGTTTTCAAACAAACAAAAACGCTCTTATTCTTGTATTTTAATTAATTTTGTTTTTTGTTAAATATGAACATTGGTATTACGTTTATACCGTGTACCCAAAGGGTAAAACTCTACTACCACTCAACTATAGAATTCCTCTCTAGTTTGTAGCTTTAGAGGTACACAGCTCATACACACAATTCTTGTGCCGAGGAGTTAATTGCCATTTAATGAATGTTCATTACGCACAGCTTTGAATAAATAAATCAGTAGCTGTGAATGCAGAAATACACTACTTTTAATTTAAATATTTAGTTCTGTATTGCATTAGCTATTTAAGTATACATAAGTAGTAATTAGGAAAGCCCAGATGCCACTGTAGCTCCGATTGAGGAATGCTGATAAGAACACACATTAATGAAACGGCAATTAACTCCTGGGCACAGGAATTGTCGTACGGTCAGTGTCATGCCACTGCTGATAGCACCAAGACGTCGGAGGCGTTGCTTCCGGTGGCAAAAATACGCACAGCGTGAATGGAGATCACATACTAAAATTGTGATGAATAGCTTCATCGTTACAATTTTTCTTAACACTCTGTATGGGTTGTTTCTATGTCGCTTTAAGAACCGCCGCGAAAAGTTTGTGTTTTCAAAGCCGGTGGCGATATATTGTGTTGTCGTCGCCTCCGCCTTTGCTGCGTTCTATGTGAGAAACATTTATGAGAACTATATCAATGGACTATTGAAGATGCGGGACACAGTCTTGCTTTACCTGGACATGAACGTGGGTTTGTGTCTGATCAATTATGTGACCCAGTGGGCAATGACGTGGGAGGTCACGGCTTTTCAAAAAACCATACCAATAATCGAAACGCTCAACAGCTTTAACATGGATATGGCCTCGATCTGGAGAATTTTTATAGTGAGCGCCATCAAAATGTGGGGTTTTCCCGTTGTCGTGGGAGTGGTACTTATTCTACAGCAAGGCCGGTCTAGCTTGACTTTTTCTGTGATGCGCGCATCTCAGACTCTATTTCCTCTTATAGTCGGCAATCAGTTGAACAACTCGTTCTTTGGTAGCGTGGTTGTTGCCAAGGTGGTGTTGACTGCGTGCAATAAGGAACTGCGTAAAGTTCTCCTGGAGGTGAACATGATGCAAACTCCGCTCCAGATGAGACTAAACAAACCCTACTACCGCATGAAACGATTCTGTGAGCTAGCCGATTACCTGGACGATCTGGCACTGCGATACACTATCGCGATCACTCGTTCCATGGACTATTTGCGACTGACAGCGCTCTCACTGATTTGCTCTCTGCTAATTAATCTGGTCGGATTCACCGTGGGTTTTTTTAACCAGTACCAGGCGATTGCAGATCACTTCATCAACGGCAAGCCCTATGACCTGATTTATGAATTTACACATTTTGTGTTTCTTCTGGTTCCGTTTCTTGAAATCGCGCTGTTAGCCCGTGTCAGCAATTCCGTTGTGGAAGATGTGAGTCAACTCTAGCTTACTACTTTTTCAGATAATAATGCCTACTTCGATCTTATTTCTTGGACAGACTTTGGAGACAGGAAATTTGCTTCAGCGTTTTGATCTACAATATGCCGACGTGCGTTTTCGACAGGTTGTGGAAACCTTCTGGTTGCAGCAACGTACTATTAAGTACAAACTTTTGCCGTTGGGAGTTATAGAACTTAACGTGGGGCTGGTAACCAAAATGATGTCAGCCGTCACCAGTTTTCTTCTTATTCTTATACAAACAGATCTGACTCTTAAGTTTTCAAAGTAGTCGAATAATTGTTGATACTATATCCCGCTCAGTTTCTAATCAGACCAGAAAAGTTAAAATCATTATGTATCTACATACATAAGAGTATATAGCTAAGCCACTATATCAACTTTTGTTTTTAAACAGCAAAAACGGCACCGTTTTAACTTTACGAGTGTATGAAATCATTAGTACCACTCTCTCTTTAGGTTTTTTTCAGCCAATTCATACAATAGGTTTTAAAATGACTGCACTACGAAAAAGTAAAATCTATTGAATAGATTATATATTCGCTGAAAAGGGAAGGGCTCAGTAGGAGTAAAGTAAAAGACAATAGTCGCGGACCGCCGTGCGTCTGTTCGCTTTAGAGTTTTATTGGAGACTGACACTTTTGCTATACATATTCTTTATGCTTACATTCGTATGCAACAGTGACAGATAACTTGTAGATAACATAAGATTATTATCTGCTTATATTAACATGCGTGCATTGGTACTTATGTTTGTATTGATTTTCAACACCCTTCCTCAATGCAAACATGTTTTACAAAAATTTTCAAATCAAATTTAACAGCTTTGTAAAATGAACATGCTTCGCTTTAGGGAGATTTTTCGTTAAAATATCAGCTATCATTTCATTGGTTGATGTATACTGTAAAACAATTTGTTCTTCGTTTACAACCTGTCTTGCAAAATGATATCTAATATCAATATGCTTTGTTCTTTCATGGTGTACAGGATTCTTAGCTAATTGTTGAGCACTTAAATTATCGCCATGAAGAATAGTTGGAGTACTCGAGTCACCGCAGCCAATCTCCACTATAAGACGCCGTAGGTATATGGCCTCCTTACACGCAGTTGAAAGAGCCATATACTCCGCCTCCGTGCTGCTAAGTGCCACGCTGCGTTGCTTTTCAGATCGCCAGGATATGGGTCCTCCAGCCAAGTAGTATACATAGCCAGTATACGACTTGCGATCGATGCGGTCGCCACCCCAGTCTGCATCCACATAGCCGGTAAGGGGTTGTCCACACTCTTTGTAGTGCAACTTCAGGTCCACAGTTGACGCCAGGTATCGAAGCACATGTTTTACACCCACTAGGTGCTCTGCATGCGGATCTTGATTCCGTTGAGCTAACTTGGCAACGGAATGCAATATGTCTGGCCTTGTTGTAAGCGCCAGCCACATTAACTCGCCAATTGAAGACTGGTAGGATGCAATGTCAACCTTTTGACAATGCTCGCTGGTACATATCACTTGGAAACCAGCATCCAGTGGGGTCGCTGTAGGTCTACAGGTCTCGCATCCATGTTCACGCAATATGTCTTTGATGTATTGCGAATTGCTTAGCGAAATTTCGCCAAGCTCACCGTCGCGCTGCACTTCCATGCCAAGGAACAAATGCAGCTCTCCCTTGTCAACACATTCAAACGATGTTGTAATGGCTGACTTGATGTTGGCCAAGTCCTCTTTTGATCGGCATGCTATAATTATATCATCAACATAAACAAGGATTAATGATAAGTCACCTCTTCCGTTCCTTTTGTAAAGACACGGTTCATTTTCACATGCTACAAAATCTATGCCTTGTAGTACACAATCGAGCTTGGAGTTCCACTCGCGCCCCGACTGCTTCAATCCATATATTGCCTTTTTAAGCAATAAAGCCTTACTTGGATTATTGGGATCTGTGTATCCCTGTGGCTGCTTCATATAAACAGTTTCATGCAGGTCGCTATTCAAATAGGCGGTACACACATCTATCTGGTGAAGGTACAGCTTCAATTCCGCTGCTAACGCCAAAATAAACCGCACGGTTTCCAATCTGCAAACGGGTGAGAACGTCTCTACATAGTTCACGCCATACTTCTGGGAGCACCCTTTAGCAACGAGTCGTGCCTTGAAACGTTCGACTTTTCCATCAGAGTCACGTTTCAGGCTGTATACCCACTTGCAACCAACTGCTCGCTGATCTTTTGGTAAATCAGCCATCTGCCAGGTTTCGTTTGATTGTAGTGCCTGATATTCCTTTTGCATCGCCTCTTGCCAGAATACTGCATGTGTGCTACCAACGGCCTGATCATAGGATGTCGGAACCATTACGTCACTAGCAACCAATGCTCCAAGCACATTGTATTGCTTTCTTGGACGACCAGGTTTACCATTTCGAACAATTTTAGGCCGGCCTGGCCCAATCTTCACAGTATCCTCGTCAGAGTCTTCTTTTTCGACTGCACTCTCATATGCGTTGGAGCTGCTGTCGTCAGAACTGTGCTCACTGTCATCGTCGTCGATGCTTCTGTCACCATCCGTGTGAGTGACATGCTCTTGAACCTCGCATGCAGGAAAATCTACCGTAACGGTATCTTCATTGGTATGACCACCACAACGCTCATCAAATAGAATGTCTCGTTTTTCGACAATCGTCCTCGTCTCTGGGTCGTATAACCGATAGCCTTTGGCTGCTACCGAATACCCAACCATACGGTACTCATGCCCTTTGGGTTTGAATTTGCCTTTACGGGGACCCTTTGCAAGTGCAACTGCAATGGAACCAAAAACTTTTAGATGGCTAACACAGGGTTTCTTACCTGTCCACGCTTCCATTGGAGTCAGGTTGTTCAGTGCACTGGTAGGTGATCTGTTTCTTATGTATACTGCTGTGTTGACTGCTTCGGCCCACAAAGACTCGCCTAGGCCCGACTGCACCAATAAGCATCTGGACATCTCCGTTAATGTCCGGTTTGCTCTTTCCGCCACGCCGTTCTGCTGCGGAGTATAAGCCACGGTCAATTGCCTTGCAATACCATGGTGTTTCAGGAAACCGTTGAATGTTGTGTTGACAAACTCGCCTCCATTGTCGGTTCGAATACATTTGAGCTTTTTATCTGTTTGCCGTTCAACCAAGTTTTTAGATTCGACGAACTTACTGAACACTTCATCTTTCTTCCGCAAAAAATAAACAAATATACGCCTGGACTTGTCATCGATGAAGGTCAGAAAGTATTTGGATCCAGCAAGTGACTTCGTGTCGAATGGGCCGCATACATCAGCATGAACCAGTTCCAACAGCTCTTCGGCACGGTTAGTGCTTACCTTTGGGAATGGCTGTACATGTATTTTGCTTAGCATACACGTTTTGCAATTCAAGTTGTCTGGGAAAACAACCTTTCCAATACCACGCACTAGCTCTTTGCTGATCACTTCCTTCAGACTGGTAAAATTTAAATGGCCATAACGCTTATGCCACAATGTACCATCTGATTCAGTTGCGGAATAACACCTATTTTGTTTGCCTTGAAACATATAAAGGTTCCCAACTTTATTCGCTTTCAGTATACACTCGCCGTTTTGTATAACTTTAGCAAAATGTGGCCCAAAATGTATAACATTGTTCTTTTGCACTGACCGGCTGACGGACATAAAGTTGCCATTCATTTTCGGTACATACAGTACATCTGACAACACCAAGGTACAAAGTTCTGTCTGTAACTTCACCTCTCCTCTGCCTTCGGCCTTCAGGAAACCAGCGTCAGCTAAACCGATCATTTCAGTGTGCGCAATAAATTTTGAAAATAACGTCTTATCGCAACACATATGGCTTGTTGCTCCGCTGTCCAGACACCACATGTTGTTCTCTATCTTTCCAACGTCCAACGCATTTAACAAGCTGCTCTGCTTTTCCATCTCTTTCTTTGTCGATTGCTTTTTCCCTTCACCGCGAATTTTCTCACGCTTGCACTGTGCCTTGTAGTGCCCTTTTTCGCCGCAGTTGTAGCAAACGACGATTTTTGAATTCCTTTTTGAATTCGCTTTGGAATGCGCGACGATCTGCTGCGTAGCTATAAATGCTCTTGCATTCTCGCTCTCTCCATCTGCATTGCCTCTGCGCTCTCCCTCTTCCATCAGCTTGATACATAACACATCAAATGACGGTAAATTGTCACGCGTCTCAATGGCGACGACAAAATTTTCGTATGGTTCGGGCAAGCTTGACAACAACACGATTGTTTTTAACTCATCATTTAATTCGATGCCAACTGTACACAAACCATCCAGAATTTCGTTAAATTCGTGTATGTAACTTGAAATGCTTTGGCCTTGAAACATGCGTTTGCCTAGCAATTTCTTGTACAGCGACACTTTCCGTACAGGTCCACTCGGCTGATGAACGTCCTTTAACTTTTTCCATGCCTCGTACGAAGTGTTGCAATTTTTAATGAAGCCCAATTGTGAAGCTTTTACACTTAGCGTTATAATTGCTAATGCCTTTTCATCTTTTGGCCTTGAACTCTCAGTATTACTAGGTTCAGCACCTGATGCCACACTCCACAATTCCGCGTGCACTAAGACAGATCGCATCTGTATGCTCCATGAGTCATAGTTATGCTCTTCCAATTTGTCTATTTGATATAGCGCACTCATTTTTTAAATGTTATATTTCTTGAGTCACCAAACGATTACTATTTCACAATACTTTGAACTTCTCCTATGAGCCTATATGCCCTGGGCCCATAACCTATTGAATAGATTATATATTCGCTGAAAAGGGAAGGGCTCAGTAGGAGTAAAGTAAAAGACAATAGTCGCGGACCGCCGTGCGTCTGTTCGCTTTAGAGTTTTATTGGAGACTGACACTTTTGCTATACATATTCTTTATGCTTACATTCGTATGCAACAGTGACAGATAACTTGTAGATAACATAAGATTATTATCTGCTTATATTAACATGCGTGCATTGGTACTTATGTTTGTATTGATTTTCAACAAAATCAACTAAAAATTAAAGCTTATATTTAACGAAAGACCGAAACTTGCGAGATACATATAAGTATGAAAATTCAAAGAGATCTAAACGCTTTTATTTCAATTCTTTTAAATATTCATACAAATTATGACATAGTATTCAAAAAAATATAGTCCAGTTTAATTATGTTATGTTTTAAACCAAATAAAATATTTAAATAATTGCTTCTTTACTCCAAAAAAATCGTGTAAAAAAACGTCATTATTTATATGAAAAATAGGTGAAAATAGGTGTATCCAATTTCAAAACGAACGAAATATATACCAATTTATTTTTTTTATAACTTTTTACATTTTTATTTTTATTAGTTGGTTCCTAGAATTAAGGTGTTATTTCTTAAATAAAAAATGTACGTTTTTGCTTTTACAAAGTGGCCACACTTAGGTCGATAGTCAAGCGCTATCGATAAAACTCTGTACTCACTCGTTAATCGCAGTATCGTTCACAAAATAACAATAATAGCTTTGCCTCCGCAAAAAAGAGTTATTATTGAGAACGTGACATATAATGAATAATAGAAATGTTTACTTAGCAAATTTAATGATGATGCCATTCCGCGGCTTTGTGGTCGCGATTGTGTGTGTGCATCTACAGCTACCCAAAATGAGTGCAAATATGTAGACGCAAAATGTGAACAACATTTACATCGAAAGGCGAAAAGCAGCATCAGCACCTGTGTTGGCCAGACCCTAGCAACGTCAGCGCGGCAGCGGTAGTGGTCGGTTACGGTTGGCGCTCTGCTAATAATTTCACCAGCAACCGCTGCGACGGTGGCTCCGCTGGAAAAAAGTGTTTTGTTGTGCGTTTGGTCAGTGAGCGCGTTCGTGTACAAACAACAAAAGAAAGTGCCTGCTTGTGTGTGGGCTGTGCACACCAGCAAGTTTTTGGCAAAGCAGAAGCAACGAACTCAAACGAAATAGTATAAGAATGTCAGTGTGCAAATATAAAAATTAAGTGTTCGGGTTGTGCAACAAAACAAGTGCAAAATGTTTACAAAAAAGTCCCACGCGGATATCAAAAAGTCTACAGCGAAGCTACAAGACTCCAAAAAGGATTCGGCCTCCCGTCTACGGCACCTCCGCACGATATTAGGTAATTTAAATGACTTAGGCTTGGTTTCAACGTCTACAAGTGTGTGAGTAAGTTTTCCTTACTTTACAGTTTATGTTAAAATGGTACAGCTAGTTGGTTTTTAGACAGGTGGGCGTTGCTCGGTTGAAATCTGTTCATTGTTGGGTTGTGTTGTGTTCGACTTGCTCAATGACATCGCTACAGTCAGCCCATTGTAATTCTTCATTGCAAAATGGCAGTGCTATTTCCTGTTGGGCGCTCAGAATGAACTACGTATGTATGTATGTATATGTACATACAAATGGCGGCAGAAAACAAACATAAAACACATTAATAAGTAAGAGCAATATAGCAGCCACAAAAAGGGCGACAGAAAATTATGATTAAAATAGCTAGCACTTGGTAACTATGTCTTAGAGTGCCGCATTACTAGCACCAATCAAGAAATCACCATGCATATGCAAATAGCATGCGAGTACTAGGATACCCGCAGGTACCCCTTACGTTGCCTGCCAAGAGATATGGATTTGTTAATTTCCTTTTGTGTCATTGAACGAAAGATTTTCAACAATAAAAACAAGCACAACACCTATAATTACAACAGGTATCCACACTGTTGTTGTTGCTTTCGCTGTTACCTTTGTTGTTGTCACTAGCCCCACTTTACTATGCACACCATTACCATTTGTATTATACCAATGGCTGCGTTCCAATTGTTGATGTTGTTGCTTTATTCAAACTTGATCATAATTACGATCATCATCATCGTCGACGTACATACATACGTACAAACGGCTTACTACCACTGCCTATTTCAGACAACACGACCGTCAAATAGTCGGAGAGACGTACATCTTTTGGCCTTATATTTGAGCGCTTCTTTCGCTACAAAACCAGTTTTAAAGCCACATATTTTTTAAGTTTTTTTCTTTGGGCTTAGCTTTCTTCTATTTTGCAGCGTTTCGCTGATGACAGTAAAGCCGGCAACAACCACCTTATGCCCGCGTTTTTCTGTTTACTTCTGATCCATCGGTTCCCTCTTCGCACTTGCAATGCCGATTTTAAGGTATTATATCAGGCGAACCTTTTAACAACTTCTGTACATTGCTTGCAATTGTCATTGAAATGCGTGCCTATATGTAGTCATGGCTCACTACCGAGTTTGTCGTTATCAGTGATATTTTCAGATTAGCCTATTCCCCTTGACAAAATATTTGCGATAAGTAACACCTGCATCAAACTAAAAAGCACATTCATATTGAGTTGAGTACGCTTATAGTTCCTTTGGGAGAGCACAAATTTTTGTTCTTGTCAAGATATAACCCCTTTTTTGAATTCCTTGCAATTTATTAAACATACGTACATCGACTTTCCTCCATGATTTGACACATGATGTGTTATTAATATTAGTACATTGTAAGCAATAAAGGATTCCAGTTAACCCGTTTGATATAAGGCGTTTATATATCTTGCCCGCAAAAATAAGTTAACAATATATAATTCTTTTTATAATTAATTCCAACAAAATTTGGTAATCAACTCATAAACAGACAAAGTTTGGTACATTATGTGCTTAAGTTTAAAAAAAAAAGGGTATAGACATACTAATTGTTAAAAAAGAATACATATATACATACAATGATAAAGAGGAAGCGCGGCATATCATACCATATCAAGTATGTAATAATCATAACGATAGGTTGCTATTTTAATAAATTTAATAATCTGGCGATCCCAGTATATGTTCTTGTTAAACATACATATTTGAGCGAGGGCAATGTTTTAAGGAAAGCTTATTTAATGGCGTATTTTTCTTGTAAAATGTTTAATGATGGTTATTAAACATTTTACAAAACAAATCTATGTATGTCTAAACAGAAAGGTAGTTGAATCTCTGTACTGAGATAGTCGCATCAAATAAAAGCCTTTAACTTAGTGTTGTCATAAAAAGCGGGCAGAAATACAATATAATTCACACCAAATTCTTCTTAGCATTTGTTATGCAAGTGTATGTAATTTATTATGCACTCTATTATTGTTTGTCATACCTGTTGATTTATTCGTTATTTACAGATAATGTCGATCATGAGGAGGCAAAATCATTATTCGAAACGAACTATAGTCATGTGTACTTCATTCTATATGACACCTTCGTACAGGCCGAGACGAATCTAAAGCAGAAAGGTAAAAGGTCTTAGTTATAGTTATAGTCCGTTCGACATAAGAAATGTTTTTATGCTATAAGTTGAGTGGTGCAAACTTAAAATATTTATATACGTATTTTTGTTCTCTTATTACCTTTTTGTTTATCGGCAAGAGTTTATCTTTATGTTTATAATGTGTTGTCCCAGATATGAGTATTTAAAAAAAGTAATTTTAATGTGTTTAAACGTATATTAACCCAGTTTCTCCTACAAATACAAAACTCATTCTATTTTTTCGCCCCCACTTTATAAAATCTTGCTGGCAGAACTCCCGTTTCACATTGGTAAGTTTGTGCGATATCCGATTGACTTTTCAAATACGCATATCTGACTTTGCTTTGTTCCCTATTTAGCACCCTTAAATCATTTCACTTTCTATTGTTACATATGTACTATATATATGAGCGATTTTAAAGTATAATTGAACCACTTTTTGTACGGAAAACTTTAATTAAACTTCTTTAATATTATTATTATACATATTTACAATAAGGCATAACATTAACATTTCTATTAATTATATACTATATTAATTTAACATACACCAAAAAGAAATCGAGAGTGCAACATTTCTTTAAAAAAACATCTCTTTGGGTGTTAATTTGTAAAATTCGATGACTTTGTATCAGGCCATTCAGTTTATTCTTTAAAATAGTTATTAAAAAATAAAAATAATAAATACCAATAAGGTACTTCTGAGTGACCTTTTGAATATATTTTTTACAGACTTATTCGCAACAGGCACTAAACCATATATAATATAAATATGTTATGCACTTGTCTACTTCCCCTCAATTCACCCTTTAAATTACTCATGATTAAACGAACAAATAGAACATATTAAAATAACAACTAGTCGCGGGTGCTTTTTTGTGGCATCGATGAAAGACATTTCAAACAACTCTTTAAATCGCTCATCCAAGCTTATATTCCCTTTTATATTTGATCCCAATCGTAATGCCTGCTTTTAGCATCGGTCGAGGCCTTTCAATGTGACCTGTGGCTTATGCATTTGTCTTTGGTATTATGTAGTCACATTGAACTTCATGCATTTGGGTGCTTGCTCTACGATTTTGCATTTGATTGCATTTGATTTTACTCGTAACGTCACTGGAATGTGTTTGTGCATCTCTGAAACCATTAGATAAACTGCACGTATCCGTATGCTAGACTTGACATGCTCTTATCGTGAATTTCTTGATTTCTTTCCACTTAGTTCATAAGGCCCATCGAGAGGAATTAGACGGATCGCTATGGCTCCTGGAAAAGATCCTGTGTCTGTTGCCAGAGTTGTTGGCGCGCCGCTGGCAATGCCATTCACTCAGTCGCATCATGGCCAAGCTCCTGCATTTGGGAAACTCGCCGAAGCTACGGCGCGAGGGTGTCAAGTAAGTACCAAGTTAGTTAGAAAATACAGTTACTATATCGGCTTATGAAACTTTGATATCCCTTTTAGATATTTTCTGCTCTGGTACCAGACGTTAGGCGAGAAAGCACCATCCTACGTGCACGCCATGTATGCGGATCTTATTCCAGGCCTGATAGTTCCGCAAAAAGGCGGCATCGGGCCCGACACAGACTTTACTGCAAGCGACTTTTTAACGCACCCGAATATGAAAGCAGACGGTGGCATGGCCTCCGTATTTCATGACAACACCTTCTCTCATCCGGTGCAGTGCTCTGAAATAGTGGCGCTGTTGCCACCGTCCTCCAGCGAGAGATCTGCACCACCGGATCCGCGGGATGGTCTGGAAGTGCTTCTAAATAGCATGGTGCAGACGACTGCATGCTTGCGATGGCGCGACAATCGCGCTCAGAAGGATCATAGGGCATTTGCTTTCCTACTGCAAAGATTTAAAGAAGTCTTCTTGCCAGTATTTTCACCAAATTTCGAAAGCAGCATTTCAATCTACGACCCCCGCCTCGATATGCCCACCATGCGCACGATCAACAAAAAAGAAGAGGTCATGGCATCGTGCGTTGTTGTGCTCATTAATTGGGTGTCTCGTTTCACGCATGAGCGACTTCTTAGTCATCGTCTAGACTGCGCACTGCACATTGAGGATGTGGACCATGTACGTCTGCAAGGCTACCAACAGGGTCTGATTGTGAGGGACGTGTTCTATGAAACGCGTGAGAACGTTAATTTTGTGCACGAGGTCTATCGCCAGGCCTTTCTGCTGAATTTTACGTCTAAACCACAAATTGAGGCAATTCGTACATCTATTGCTGTTTATAGAGATTGGATGACCGGCAGCACACCGCCACCATTTCTTTTGGAGCCGGATGATGCACAAAATGCTCCTAACCATGCCCATGCCAATGCCGGAGGTACTCCGCGCAGTCAGCGCCTGCGCACCCCCTCCTATGTGGGTGCCATACAGGGTTCCAAGGAGAATGTGGCGGTTCGAGCTGGAATGCAAAATGTTCTGCAAGTGTTCGTAACGAATGCTGCGAATGTCTTTTTGGTTAACACTGCAAATCTAAACATTTGCTTTCCCACACGCTCTCGTGATCACGACTCCAGCCCGTTGATGGAGCAAACAGAGATTTGCAAGAAGGTGCTAAATGTCTATCGCGCTATGGTTATGAATACTCGTATGGAACCTCGCACTTGGGAACAGCTGTTGCTTGTTCTGTTGCAGGTTACATCGGTGGTGCTGCATCAGAATCCACCGCCCAGTGGTGCCAAAAGTCCCAATCTAGGAGGTATTCTCGGGTCCGCCATATTTCAGACACTGATCGTAACTTGGATACGCGCCCACACCAACGTACCGGTGAATCCGGCCCTTTGGGAGAAATTTCTTACAGTTCTGCAGTCGCTGACGCACCGTGAAGAATTGATAGTGGAGTGGAATAAAACAATGCAAACCCTGACACGTGTTTTTTCGCGGTATACCTATGGTATAAATTTGCTGGATCTGCCATTAGATCGCGTTGCCGAAAGCAGAGGTAAGCGTCGACGTATTGGCAGCGTTTGGCACCAGTCGGGCGTTGGTACAGGTGGGGCCACAATTGCCCATGGTAGTTCCTCGGCCAGGGACAAAGAACGTGACAGCATTGCTGAATCGAACAGCAGCCGTTCGGATGAGACGTCTCAAGGTGGTGGGGCTGCCGCTTCTCAATTGCAGAGCTCTAGCCGAACGCATCAGCACTCGCAATCGCACGGAGGCGGCGGGACTGGCCGGGCCGTGCCTCTGACGCCAATGCTCAGTCGTAGTTACAGCGAAGGAAGCCTGGCTTCGGCAGCCCGTAACTCACGCGTGCGCCGTCGACGAAATCAAACACCCAAGGTGGTAGCGTTACCTCCACCTCCCACAATCCCCTCAAGTGTGGAGCACTCTTTAAACACGTTGCTTGCGCGCCCTAGCAATGTTCTTAAGCTGGAAGCAAATCTGATGCGCACACACAGTAATGCGCAGGACATGCGACGTGCTCTGTCTTTGGATTCGCTTGCGCCGTCCCGAAAAACACGTCGACTCCGTCGAGGATCACAGGATTTGGGCGATGAGGTTGATGGTGACTACAGGACTGACTGCGATAATGAAAGCGGCGGCGGTGTCGGCGGCTCACGCAGTCCTTCACCAACAGCTAGCAGCGGTATTGAGGGGAGCTCCATCAAGGATGCACATATACAATTGGACGTATTGGCAGTAGATAGTGGCAGTCTAGAGGATGGAAATTCTGGCAGTTATGGAGTCAGCGGAGCCGATCGACGTTCTATTATTCTAGGCGGCACAGCTACCGGTTGGCTGCCGGACTCCACGTCCATTATGTGGAAGCGTATGCTGGGAGCACTGGGCGATGTGAATCGCATACCAAAGCCAGAACTGCATGCCCAAGTTTTTAAACATTTGCTGGAGATGACGCAGAACCTCATCAAGATCAAACAAAACCAGGGTATCTCTACGGACAATCAGAGCACACCGCCGCCTCCAATACTTGTGCCGCCTATCAGTATCGTAGCGCCCTGGTGTTACGGTGCGCTTACTTTGGATCGGTCTTTTAAGAAGGGAAAGCTCTGGGCGGTACAGCTGCTTTGTGAGCTGGCACTGCAGGGCGGCGTCAGTGGTATGCAACAATTGCCAGTTTTTTACCATGCAATGCACAAGTTGCTTACCGGAGAGGATCGTGATCTCATCTATGCTATTCTTAAGCATTTGCAAGGGCCGCGCCTGCTTAGTTTGCTGCTTCCGGGACACACACTGCTATTGCTGGACATTGTGCATGCAAGTGCTCTTCTGCTCACATCGCTGGAAGTAAACCGGAGTACTCCACGAGCCGATGTTGCTGCGCTGCTCGGATCGTTGCTGTGCTATCCCGCTTCGTTATTGCCGCGTCCCGTGCTACAGCCAACTCCGCAGCAATTTACCATTATGGAGTGTCCCGATCTGCAGGATCACATTTTAAATATTGTTCTACGTTGTGCCCGGAGAGAGCCTTCGGCTAAGGCCCGTTGCATTGCGCTTTCACAGTTGGGCCAATGGATTTTGTTGCGTCTTTCGCAGTCCTCGCAACCCTCAGCGAATCAGCGAGGTCCCTTTCAGCAGACAGTGCCACATCCCAAGGGCGCGGTACCCAAGGAGGTGTCACGCAGTTTTAACCCTCGCATTCGCGAGGCCTTGCAGGTTCTGCTCCAGGCACTACAGTTCAAGCATCATACCATTGCCGTCATTGCTGTCGACTCGCTGAAGTTGTGTGCGGAGCGTGGTCAAGAACTGGCTGCCATCGAACGGGCTCCCCAGCTGATTATCACAGCGCTTTGCAAGGCTCTGGAAATCCAGAACGTGAGCAAGCCCAAAGACGCTGACAAAGTGGTTATGACGTCGTTAATGTTATGCTTGGGAGAATACTGCATGGCTTTTCCAATGTCACTAATGTTGGCCCCAATCAATGAGCAAGGCGATACACTTGTGCTCCAGGTGCTGCGAGTGTTGCTGCAGGTGTCTTCTGGAGCGCCGCGACATGAGCGTGTCAAATTGACGGCCGACGATGATTTTGATATGCATACAACCCACGACGATCTACAAGGTGATGGTCGCCTTCCTGAGGCTAGTTACCAGACATCCGAAACAATACAGGCATGCATCACTGCTATAAGACTATGTGCCAAGGCAGTTGCTATGCATTTGGTTACGCATATGGGTCATTTTCCTATGGGTATAGGCGCTTCGCGTCTTAGCTCAATGGTCGAGGAACAAGATGACACCAGTAGCGTATCAGGCGGCAGTCAAATGGGAACTCTTGACACACGCCGTGACTCCGTAGAGCTGCCGTCAGTAGTAAATGCTCAAAACATGCAACTATTTATGCTTAATCCAGGACTTGTCGCGAGTTTCATTGAGCTACCTACCCTAAAGTTGCCGGGCGGAGGAATTACTGCCGGACTTGTCACTGCCGAGAAACAGGTACGCGTGTTAATGCGCGATCTCAATGGAAAGGCTTGCTGGGATGCATCAATACTGTATTCGGAACCACGGAAGCCAGAGCAACCAGTCAGTTTAGAGCGTTATGAAGGGTCAGCGATGGGTACAGCGATGCATGGTACGGCACAGCCCTTGGATTCGATAATGAGCTCCATGGTGGGTGTGGAGCAGCAAGCTCCTCGGCACACACTGCGTCATCGTCCACCAGGTGTACTGCCACTGGCCGAAGATATGGCACCTGATATGGATCAATTGGATGACATGTTAGCCTACATTGGATATACAAGTCCCGAATGCCTGCCTCCCGGTGTGACGCAGTTGAATGCGCCCGGCCCTAGTCCTTTAAGCAGCAGCCAGGAGGCGGAGGGAATTTCCGTTATACTTAATCAACGGGCACTGGAACAGGAGTTTGTGGCTCGTGCCGCACAGCAGCCACCGCCAACAGCTTTAAGACATGCAACTTCCAGCTCCTCCCTGCAACTACAACAACACGATCAACGATCGTTGCACTCAGCTTCGGCGGATCAGCATTCACATGCTTCCTTTGATTCCTACTCTGGGACTGGGACTACAGGAGGCGGCAGCCTGCCCAGCCGCAATGAGACACCGTTTCAGTATTGTCGTTTGCTCTTTTCTCATCTGGGTCTTGCTGGATGGGAGCGACGCTCTCGCACTCATTTATTGGAGCGCAGCGAAAAATTGATTCGAGAGTTGCGCAACGTAGATTTGCAAAAGTGTCGTGAGACGCATAAGGTTGCCGTGATATATGTGGCTGCCGGCCAGGAGGACAAGAGCAGCATATTGCGCAACGCCAGCGGCAGTAGTATGTACGAGATGTTCGTATCAGCACTGGGGTGGGAGATTGATCTGGAAACGCATAATGGCTTTCTGGGTGGTCTGCCCCGCCAAGGTTGTGGTGCCACAGCCCCTTACTATGCCACGCCCTTTTTGGAGGTTATCTACCATGTGGCCACACGAATGCCCTCGGACTCAGAGGCGCTGTTGCTGAAGACGCGTCATCTCGGCAATGATGAAGTGCACATTGTGTGGAGCGAACATCATCGCGATTACAGGCGTGACATCCTTCCAACAGAGTTCTGTGATGTGCTTATTGTTGTGTATCCATTGAGGAATGGCTTGTTCCGCGTGACAGTCAATCGAAAGCCAGAGGTACCCTGGTTTGGACCGCTGGCCAACGAAAGCGTTCTGAGTGGCACATGCCTTGCCACGCTTGTACGTGCTACAGCTATTAACGCGAGTCGGACCAAACGCGCTGCTTTACCGCTGTATCAGCAATAGTAAGTCCCCACTACCTTCAGTTTTTATTATACATTAATTATTAATTTGCTTAATTAGTTACGAGGAACGCAATCGCTCGCTGGACAGCGTGTCGTCGCGTTACAAGGAGAGCACCACATTTGAGGACTTTGCCAGTCGCATTTACAATCCCATGCCATTGTCTACGCTGGACACTCTGCATGAATCCGGCGATAGTAGTAGTGCTACTACACTAGCCGCTGCGCTTGTTGACCATAATCGATCCTCCATCAAAGGTAAATAAAGGAATAGAAACCAAAGAAGCCTTAAAACAAAATGTGACCATTGCCTTTATTATAGGCTGGGTGCAGGCATCCATTGACTCTACCTATAAGGATGTACCGCTTGGTATAGTGCCATCCGCCTCGGCTGGCTCCACGGCGGCCATGGAAGCTAGTACTTTGGCTTCGGCATCTCCACGCGGTTCACGAAAGTCGGGTTCCACCTTCAAAATTGCCCCTAAAAAGCATTCGTTGCAGCAAAGCGGCAGCAGCACTCCACCAGAGAGTCCCACGTTCCCGATGCGGCGTTTTAAATAAGGTCTCATGCTTTCAAACTAGCCTCGACTTGGTCTCTCCCCACTAACTGCACTCATTCCCCATTTGTCGCCAATATGAAAACCCAGGGCAGGGCTTCGCGTGATGGCCCAGGGCTGCAGTTGCTGCGAGCAACGACGCAGAGATCTGTCACAAATGTCAAAAGTATTGCTAAAAGTTTTGCTCTTACCTTAAATTATTTGTATTCTCTAATTTATTTTTATGTATTTATTGGTCGAACGTTTCTTTTTTAAATGATGCCTTCACTGTTTTTCTCTCGTATTTACAACTTAGTTATGATTGCAAATGCTGAAAATAGAAAAAATTATGAGCCTGCTAAATATTACGTACATCTAGTATGTAGATATTTATTGGCAAATAATTGTGCAGCTTGGGCATTCTGTGTTAAATAGTATTCACCAACGCCCAAAATTTCCTCCAATTATATAACATAAAACAGTAATGAAAACATAATTTTTATAAAAGTTGTACGGCGTTCTTACAAATTTTGTAATTTTTAATTAATCAACAAAAAGAAGCGGTTAATAATATTTTTTTTACATTCGAATTGATTTCTGTAGAACATTTTTAATTCAACCGATTATTTATGTTTGTATCGTCAAACTAATCATTTACATATATTAACGATTTTTATGTCCTTCACTAGGCGAAAACGCCCGATTCTAACATTTTTCCATAGTGCTGCGTACAAAGTATCAAAATCAAAATTTAAACATTGCAGTCCCGGAATATAAGTTTTCCTCGTTAAGTTTAAAATTTTACTAGTAGTATTATATGATGAGCTCTTGTATAGAATAAAATGTTAGTAATTTATAATATATATTAACATGGTCATGAGACCTGTCTGTGTGTATGTGTGCTTTGCAACGAAAATGCAACCTAAGCTATAAAGTTATCAATACTAAGAAAATTAATAATATTAATGTCTTACTAATTATTTTACAGCGTTATATTTTCTGCAATGCGTTTTTGTTGCACCAATCTTTTAAGAAATTTAGCCTAAATAACAAAAGTAACAATAACATTAAGTGACTAGACTTATTTTATACAATAAATTCAAAAGTGGAAGAAATGCGTGAAATTGTAACTAACACCAAGTACACAAGTTATACAAACATAATTATATATTTAAAACGATATATACAATACATATTTACTAATTTATTTGAGGTACAATCAATTACATATTTTTCATATTAATAAAATAATATTTAAAGTGTTTAGATGATACATTTTGTTGTTTTACTTGGAACAAGACATGAATGACCAATTCATTTTAATTACTTAGCTGTAATCATTCTTCTGATAGCAAAGGCTCTACTTAAGTATTTCTTTCACATTTTTCAATTGTTTTCTTTATCAAGCTATATAAAAGTAGATAGGTAAATAGGTGAAAAAATCATTTCAGCGTTTTGTCAAAGAAAGGCTTTAAAATAGAAGGCAACTCAAACAAAACTAGAAACTTTAGAGCCTAATTTCTGAGGCAACGGAAGACGTCTCGTATTTTGCATTTTACAATGTACTTAGATACAAGTTTCCTGTTTTCACATGCTTACCTATGCCTTATGGGGTGCGTGTTTTCATTAAATGACTAATGAAAATGAGGAAAAGTCATCTCCGATAGTAAAGGCTGAAAACATCCCCAAAAGTGCGATCAGGAGACCAGGTGTTTCGCACACAACTCATTAATGCGACACGCAATCGCACCACTGACACCCATTCAACGCAGGTCTCCAGTGCCTAATTCGAGCAAGGGCATGTGGCGGGCACCGATAGACAGAACTGTGGACTGTCATGTGGCGGTCATTGCCTCCGTAAAGGGAACTGCGCGTGCAGGACCCCAATTAGGGGTGGCTTGACAAGAATAGTTTTGGAAGCGCCCTTGACTAACTGCCTGTCTGTCTGGTGGTGAGACCAATAATTGCAGGCAGTAGTAACGGATATATTCTTAGTTCGTTCTTAGTTTGTTTACCATAAGCAAGTGACGTCACCGAGTCTGAGTTTTCCATACGCGCATACACAGAAATAAACATATACACATGCATACGTACCCAAGTCAACATGTGTTGTGTAGACGCTGTCAGCCGGCTGGCTAACTTCGCCTCTTTGCTTAGGAACAGTTATAGACAAGCGCTCGAGTCGTATGGACGTCGGCGGTTGAATTTGTCCCGTGCTTTTAGATTTGTTCATTAATAATCTAACGATCTGCCTTGAGCATAGAATCGAGTTAATTGCATCGCAAGCACAAAATATCAGAATGCGCTCCCAAGGGCTGTGTTTTTGTATTGCAATTCTGCTAATTGTTTGCCTAATGTAGCGTAATATTTTCAAAAAACATTCAGAATGTGAAAAACCGAGCGTAGAATAGCAGAGTGAGGACACGATTTGTATGCAGACCCTATTTTCAAAATGTTAAGGAACACGCCGCAGAGAATTCGAAGATTGGGCAACAGTCTCCATATGCTAACTAAGGAGGCACATCGTGAGGTGTTACGTTGCGAGCGTAAGTAGAAATAGTGGTAATTGAACAATATACTTGTATAAAAATTGGAAATATTGAAAGAAAATATCCATTAGCTTTCATAGTTCAATTTGGGATTAGGTTGAACTCTTTTCATTTGTATTTGATATCCAAATTACGGAAGCCAACTAATATACTTATTTCTATTATAAAGTAACAGAACATATACCGAAGCAGTGCTTTTACCATCTTTGAAGCAAACATTATTTTCAATACTGAAAATTATACTGATAGGAATATTTTTTTTAGATTATGATTAAACAAAATTTAATTTGATATTAGCATAAGTGAACTAATATTTAATATTAATTATTGTTGATTACATGACAAGTTTAAAGCTATCTAATAAGATTCATGAGTCTAGTTGCTTAGCCTCAAACTATAGAATGCTTCAAGATAAGTTTACGCAGGTTATAATAAATCTATGAAACGTTGCGCAAAAATAGCGTCTGTCTAATTTGCATACGGGAACGACGTCATCGCCTGTGTTAACATGGATACCGTGGAACCATGAAAATGGCGTTTTTTCGATTGCGCAGAGCCCACTCATAGTTGTGTATTTGATTTGTTTTGGCAATCGGGGAGGAATTCTCTGAGCCAATATTTGTTCTTTTTTGCGCCAGAGCCATGAGCACAGAAACTGCCCCAGACCGTGTGTAAAGCCTGTTACTAATTGTGATTACATTACCATCTCTGTTTACATTCGGCGGAATATACTTATGACACATAAATTACACAGTATAAGGTATCAGCGAAATGTATCTGTAGCATAATGTTATATCTTGATTACAAAGTGGTCTCATGCGTTGTTACAATATGGTCTTTTATGTAGATTTCATTATTGGCTCAAAAGCAAACATGAGCAATGTGCGTAGAAAAAAAGTTTAATTGAGATCAAGATGAATAGAAAATGAAAACAAAAGCCTATTATAAAATTGTTGAAAGCATATAAGGACTTATGTATTTTTAAAGATTTGTTTATGACTTTAAATTTCTAACAATACTAGGAAGTAGTATACACGTTCAAGGCTTTCGATGTCTGCTTCAACAACTTCATAAATTTAATGGTTAACTCCTTTAAAAGGAGTTTTTGGTTGGAAAAGTGCCACCTCATCATGCACGCGATTTGTATACACAAATACACACACACATACATCTATAGTATGTAAGTACACAAGTTACACGCAAGTCCTTGCCTGCTATGGCCGATAATTAATCCCACCTTGGGCCACCAGAATAATTTTTATTTCAAGGTCATCGCTGATTTAGCGTTTTTAGTTACCGCTGAAAATCCAAAAAAAGAAAAATTACAAACAGCCCCCTTGCTATTAAATGTTCCTTTAACAAAATCCCCGGTATATATTTACGCCGCTTTTTTGGAGCAAATCCAGCTTAAAGTGAAAATACTCTTTTATTTAAAAGCTGCATAGTTGAAAATACAAAGACCTTATTATAGTCATGTTTCGAGGCGTACACACGTATTTAAATTAGAAGACTAAAAGCAACCGTTGTTATGAAGCTGTTGCGAATTAGCAGCAACAATAGTAGGAAAGCCGAATCAAAACAAAAACGAGAGAATAGCGGCAGCAACAACAACCAGTTGCGTTGCGAAAATCAAAACAAAACTTGAGAAAACTTGCTCTCTCGCAACTGTAGCTATTGAGAGCACTTTTTGGAGTGAGAAACGACGTCGCTAGCGCTGGTGAATAAACGCCGCCTCAGTGCTTAAGTGACGGCGCCGAGTGGTGGTTCGTAGATACGTCCGGTCGATGTGTGTTCGATTTCAGATCCTTGGCGCGAAGTTGTTTTGTTTTGTTGGGCTCTATTTTGTAACGCTTGGATGCGTGCGCTGTGGTTTTCGTGTTTTTATGCTAATGAAACATTTAACAACAACAAAAAGCAAATAATATTTGTACATAATGGAAATGAGTTTAGAAAAGCCATACAAACTCAAACAATATGCTATAGTCTGAGGCATTGTTGTTGATTCCGACCAAAAGTTCTATTTATACAGAATACACACGCCACTGAATTCTTAATTAAAATACCCATCAAATTTTGGAAATCGAATGACAACTATCGAGTCAATAAATAAGACATTGGCGTGTTAGTTTACGGTGGCGTATACGTAATAATTCATTGAAATTTATGTTCATTCTTGCATCTTGCAATTGACAGTTAAAGTTTCATTCAACTTTAGCGCAGATGCTCCAGTAAAGCCTTCAAGTTAAATAAATCTGTATGAGAATTAAAATGGATGTAAATGACGTGCCTCGTTTATGGACTGCAAATTGGTTGATGGCTTAAAAAAAATATTACGAAAAATCACGTTAAAAACTATTAATGCTTTTGGATGTCTTTTAACACTTAACTTCTTTCTTGGGTTCATTTTTGAGCACACCCAGTCATCGATCAGTGCAAACTATTTGTGTAAATATTGCTATAGTTCATTAATGTTCTCGCGTTACCTATTTATTTTTTTTTTAAATTCGTCTGTTTTTACTCCCACATTGTATTTGCTATTAATTGATTTAAATTTATTTGCGATTACAATTAACAGGAGAGCACAGGCAAAAACTTTATTTATAGCCCACATACAATCATATAGTACTTCTTCGAATTGTTTACTGTTCTGCCAGTAAATCCGATGCCTCCTCGATCGCCTTGCTTCAATCATTTAAATGCTTGTTAGTGCGCCAAATATATTTACGCTATAAAAATCCCATAAAAGTGAATTAATGTCCGGCCTTAAATCTTCACCTGGACAAATACAGCAATCAAATTTATTCTACATATAGACATACATATGTATGTATGCATATACATTCATAGTTAAGTGAATTAATAGTTGAATATACCTACAGCACTGCTGTTGCTGTGCTATTGCAGAAACGCAAACTGTGCATAAAAATTGTGAAAAAGCAAACAAGAGGAACGAGTTGTTCATTCATAACAATTAATAAATTTAATGGTGCGTAGCCAAAGTGAACACACCATTTAGAATAACGAAATAACGAGTCGGTATTCTCAACCTAAATCAAACGACCCAGAATCGTATACTTTCAACAATCAGTCCAACCCACAAAATATGCAACAATGGATTTGATAAGAAAGTACAAACGGGGCAAGCTAGCAACTGCCGATATAAGGAAATTAAACAGTACGTATCCATAAAAAGAATGCTTACACTATTCAGAACATAGGGGTATATAATTTATACATACATATATGTATCTACTGTGCCTGTATGTGTATACAATTGCTGTCGCGTCGCCCTCCAGTCACAGTGAATGTGCCTATTTTTATTTTAACATATTTACATATTTATTTTTACACGCATATGTAGCTGATCGTAGAGGAGATTGTTTAAACTGCGACTGTCGGCGCCAAAATTGTAATTTGAACTTTATTGCTAGAACTTTGTCAGGGTTGGTTTTCAAGGACCCCGGCCCAAGGGCGTAGGCAGGGGAGGAGGCAATATGAAGTCGACCAAACCTTATTATTCCTTATTATTTCGTCTTAAAATGGAACTAAGTTGGATTTGTTGAAATTTTTCTATTGATCGTAACCTTAAGTTATTATTTTAATGCATATTGCAATATTTAATCACGTTTACATTTTTTGGCTCCCCCTTTGGAAAAAGCTGCCTACGCCCTTGCTCCGGCCTTATACGTCATTGGAATTCACCCATATACGTGTATATGTATATGTGTAGTGTGTGTGAGCACTGGAGATGCCACTCATTGCGGAATCTATTTATTTTTTCGGAAGAGTATTCCCAACGACCTTCGATTCGAATGACCTCATGAACAGCCGAAAACAACATAAAATCAACAACAAACAATTCGTCAACGAACTGTAAAAAAGAAGCATTAATTACTACTGGGCCTTCCTACCTCCGACTAAAGGCTAGTCAAGGTTTCAATTTCGCCATCTTTGTTGGTGCGTTTTTCATCGATAGGGGAGAAACAAATATATTGTAATTGACTTTCAGAGCTTATTAATTAAAACCAGTGCTTAAAACAGCATTAAAGGCATTAACTATAATTACAAAAAAAAAATCTGTCCAAGCTTTTAAAAGCCATTTAGACATTAATTACGTGTAATATTTCTAGACCCGTTTACTTAATCTAATACAACCTTCAGTTTATCGAAATGATATACCCCTCTTTAATGGATTTCCTTTTCCTCATGTGCTGGAAAAGAACACCCTCGTTCACGTTCAGTAGTTGGCATCTTTTAAAAAGTGGAGAGAGGCGTTAAAAAGTAAACAGTCAGTCTGAAATTACCATTTTGAACAAAAAGATGTGTTGGCTTTGTACTTTGTAAAAAGTTTATCTATCTATTATTTCTAGTGGTTTTTATAAAAAATGTAATGGAGAAATGATATATTATTCACAAATTTATAATGTACTATGTACGAGTATATATGTATATATATTCATCTTAACGAGCTTCTTTTTCTGTTTTCGTTCAGTTTTTTTTCTGCACTAGAGTGCATCAATTTGAAATGGAATGTATTTGCTCATACAAATATTTCATTCATATCTGATAAATATTGCCTAAATTCAATTTGGGAATCATCTTCTGTGTGGGCTGCTTCTAAACAATGTGTGTTGAAAACCATTTCTATGCGTTTGCACTTGTTGTTGATTGATGTTGGCTTTCGGCCTTTCGTGTTAATTGAAGTTCATTAGCAAAAGTCAAGCGTTGATAGAAACAACCAAATTGAATCTTGAACGAGTATATAGACAAAGAAATGTGTGTCGGCACTGCAAGGCATTACAAGTTCTTTGCTATTGTTATCAAATTGGCTAGGGTGTTAAGTGGCCTTAAAGTCGACGCAAGGGTTCTAATCGTAGCTCTATCGCGTGAGCAGCTGGGGGCGCTAATTACCCCAAGCGGTCAACATTTTTACGTATATATTCGTATTACCAATACTTGTTAATGGGCTATTTCGTTCGCGCATCGTTGTCGGATGTTTGTTTTGCTTGCTGTGAAATTAATAAACAATTATCTTCAGCAGTTGAGCTTCTCAGTAATGGGATCTTCAATCTTCCAAATAGTTTTGTCTTGTTAGTGGGCGCACTCCATAAAAGTCTCCCCATACGCGTACGCCATGTGGTTTCTAAAAAAAGTGTATATGTTTGATATTAAAAAAAGAGACTTCCGCCGCTGATTACGAACAAAAAATGCGTTCATAAATTTCACAAATAAACAGCTTGAATGTGCAAACTGATGATTAAATCGCCAAATAAATGTACACAAATGTACAAAAACCACACGAGTATTCAACAAATTTACAGTAACGGTTTTATAAGTATGAAAATGTATGGTTGATGTTCCAAAAAAAGGCAATGAGTAGGAATGAATAGGCCCATGAGTATATTCCAACATAGGACATATCCGAGGAGAACACAAGTGTAATCGAGTTAGCAATAGTTCTTATAAAAGGTCACGCACTTACGGTTACATTACTTAAGGTGATGGAAATTAAAATAAATATGAGATGGTTTTGTACAACATGTATTTAGATTCTACGGAGCTTGTCTTCAGGGTAGTTGTAATATTGTCTCCGAAAAAGTCCGGCCGATAGTTATAGTTTGGCAATATTAAAACAAGGAAGTGAGAACATAGTTCTTATTTGTAAAAATGTTGAAATTGAGCCGACAAGGCCTTTGAGTTATCAGATAAATGGCAGAAGTAGTGGCTTACAATGGACAATGTTTCTCATAAAAAGTACCTTCGAATGAATTTTATTGCATTAATTGCAGGTTGGCCTAGATTATTGAAAAATAGCCTTCCAACAAATCTCATCCCTATATTCCATCACTCAGCATTGTTTTACACAAATTGTTAATTTAACAGCTACAGCCACAAAACGTAAATGACACGATGGCAATAAAGCTAGACTCTCCATCTCAAACTACCTTCCGAGATGAGTTTCTGCTGGCTTTTGGTTCGACGCTTCGTGTCTCTCAGCTGTGAACAATGGCGTTGCCTCTGAAATATTTATCTGTGTTGTAAGCCCGGCCGAGGCCGTCCCCCAGACTCGGTCGGGTGATGTCATAGCTGCTGTTTCGAACAAAAAAATAATAATAATTATAATACGGTTCACAATAGAACCAAATAGATTCGAAGAGCATTCTGCTTGCATAGAAACTTCAACGATTTCAATTAGAGGGTGATATATTTCATTTTTATGCAATATGTGTAACAATTTAAGAACCATTACTAATGTTGTTAAAATAGCAAAATAAAAGGCGAATCACGACTGTGTGAGTTAAAGCTGACTCGTCCATTTCATTTGGATTTTATGTGATTGTGTCGAAAAGAACATAAATATTATGCACAGTACTCGGTTCGTAATTTGTTTGTTGACTTCTTAGCGCAAATGCATTTGTGCTGATATTTTTGGAATATGGAATATTTATCTCAATTCCCTGGGCTTGTTTCAATTGTACGAGAACATTTCATTGGCTGGCCATCATAAAAGTCGAAGTCGATGACCACATCGACGCCAGCGGGAGAGGCAAACGCTTTTGTGTGTTATTGTTTGGCTGTTCCTCCAAGACTCGTTAACCCAGTCAGTCAGTGACTGAATAATATGCATGATATCATGCTTCCGATATAAACTCACGCGGTAAACATATGTCTGTGCTCTGTAAACTACTAGTTGCCCCGTCCATACAAACACACAAGCCACTGATGCCGCCATCCAAACGGTGTAAATGAACGTGCTATGCCCCCAAACAAACAAAACATGTCAAGTAAACACACCGACAATAAATATTCGATCTTGCTTTTCGCAACCGACATACGTTCATAATATTCGTAAACATTCATTGTTTTCTAAATCCAAGCAGATTAAACGAGTATTGTGACAGGGCCATGCGCTAGCTCCAAGTTCCGTAAACGGATCATGCTTCATATTTAAAATTTCATTTCTAGAATTTGTTGGCGGTGTGTTTGTGTTTTGTTTTAGAAGCCAGTAACGTGTTTGAAATTTGCAATTAATTATTGATTTCCTTTCCACAATACCGGTGTTGTGGGCAATTGTTTTTTACGCAAGGTGCAACCAAAAATGATTCAACTATAGCATGATGTCGAAACTATTTCGTTTTTAAAATTTTGTGTTATATTATTACTATTTGCATTTCAACTGGTTTGTTACCAACAATTGGTTGATTTAGTAGGCAGTTAATGTTGTACATTAAATATGTTTGAAATAAGTTTATATTTATTGCTGTAGTATTTTAATCTTAATCTTCTTTTACATAAAAAGTTTGTCCCAGGTCGGCTTCTTATTTGTAATTTAATGTGCGACTTCAGTATTCCAATTCCAGCTAAGTTATTCGACTTGGTTGCCGGTTTATTGGTTTATTATTTATAAAAGTTTAAATTAGAGATATCAACAAATTTAAACAAACATGAAGCGTTTAAGTTGCGTGCCGAATCGTCGGATGACGGACTACTCATTGAGAGTGAAATTTAAATACAATTTTGAATTATATATTGTCTTTAAAGTAGCACTGCTTTGTTGCCTCTTTTTCTATGCTGTTTCTTTTTTGTTTCTTGGCAGCCACAAGCTGCAAGATATTTGAGTATCTTCGCTGTGTGCGTGCAACATCAATATTTTGATACGCCCTAAATCTGAATTTATACGGAACACGAGTACTGAAAAATTCCGTCCAGCGAATCATATATCTTAAATACCTAGAAACCGAGAAACCACATTGTGCAAATGCGGGACTGAAAACTGTAACTCTTTGCAGATACTGTAATATGCCTAATGGTGCTGGTGGCGATTTGCTCAATCATTTGGAGTATTTCATTGCACGTTTTATCTGGAAATTTCTCGGATGGTCTATTCAGTGCCAAACTCGAATTCCGGGAACGAGACTTCTCGCAAATGGATAATAGAAGTAGGGAAATCTTCTACCACGACCTGGCCAGAGTAACAGAGGGAGTGTACGATGTCGATGTCCGGGGGGAGAAAACAGGCAAGCCCTTGGGTACGACAGGAGGAGATGCATCGCCAAGTGGGAATGATGAGCCGCAGCAGGGCGAGAGCCGTAAGTTCGATTCAAAGAAAAATGTTATTTTCAAATCCTCTCTACTTGTATTTTTTAATATTTTAGAAACCAAGAAGCCAAAGGTGTATAAAATCGAGCACGTATATGAGTCTAAGCAGAATGCACCAAAGCTGGCGCTACTGCTGTCGCCCGATAGGAAGATGCCACCACCACCAACCACGACCACCGATGCCCCGCCGAAAATTGTGTTTAATCCTGAGGCCGATCGCCAATTTTTGTCCAGCAGTGAGCATGCACTTATTTTCAACTAGTATAGCCAACCTAACAGTTGAGCTGTGATTTCAGTGTCCATTGATGAACGAGCTACGCACTGGAACTTTGGGGCAAGTGCACAGTTCGTTTATGCATTTCCTTTTATATCCGAAATCACGGCCATTATATGGACGGCCATGTGCCTAGTCTTTCAAACAGGCACCAAGAAAACTTGGTAAGCATGCTAAAGGTGTATGCATATTATTATTCATGTATTTTTGCGTTAATTACTAAAGATTATAACATTTCTTTCTGTTTCTTTTAGGGGACTGCCAAAACCATGGCGCATTGTCGTGCCTTCTATTGTAATTTTCTCGATTATGAGCCTCGGTAGCCTGATCTACATTATACTCACCAACAGATATCTGAAGCATCTGTGCGGAGACTTGCTCTCGAATTTAAGCAATCCTTCGGCCCTGAGGTTGGTTCTATCTCTTACCCCTCACCGATTTAAATAGTTTTAAATGCCGTTTGTTTTAGCTGCGGAGATGCCTTTGCTTTACTGCGTCCTTTTATTCGGGAGCATCGCCTCTCCTACGATGTGCACTTGGAACTTTTCCGCTGCAGCTACATTCTGAGCATGCTGTTGTGGGTAGTAGCGCTCCTGGTCATGGTCCTGCGATACGTGTTCGCCGTAGATTTCCAACTTGTCGATATTGACGATATGTTTGGGTGCAGGCCAGAGAGCTGCCAGCCGATACAGCCTGTGTGTACATATAATCTGGTGTCGCAAAATAGTCCGCAGCATCAGGCCCAGACGAGGCCTAGGTCAGAAGATGATTTTCAAAGCGCCAAGTCACGCCTGAGTGATGTGGTTACAGTCACGCCGCTGCTAGAAACAGTGTCACAGGCTCATGTGCAGCAACAAGTCTACTTGCCGACTGTGACCAAGGCCTAGTTTTTTGAGGAAACGCGGAAGAATCTCAGGTTTATTTTAATGATTTTTCATAAGCGAACAGAAAGCTCGGCAGGCCGCAGCTTATACGCCCTCCACATTTGAATTTAAAATGCGGATGTACGAGTATGTCGTGAGGCACTATGTTTGTAATGGAATGCAAGTCTTTGGGACCTCAAGACCACTAAGAGAAAATCCTTCATGACAAAGTACAATAAGTTGTACGGTCTTGTGTTCAGGACTTTCGATTTTGTGAAGGGCACTACGCACTACTATTATGTACAAGTATTACTTACGTATTGAACAGTTTTTAAATCCCCTACAACTCGATCGATATTATTACCATTAGTTATGTAAGTGACCTCGTGCCTCGATACAACAAATTATATTTAGGATCGACTTAAGAATTTCATTTAATACATGAACTTAACCAGAAAAACCGACGTGTATATATATAACACATATAGAAATGAGAAGAGCGTCGATATGACATCATGATAAGAAGGAGCTTAAAGTAGTTTCATAGTAATGGTCTTTGTTTCTAGGTAGTTGTCCAGACCATCTTTGCCGAGTTCACGGCCAATGCCAGAGTGCTTGTAGCCCCCGAAGGGTGTCTGAGGCAGAACCGCATCATAGCAGTTGATCCAGACGGACCCAGCATCGACATTATTGGCAAACTTCATGGCCTTGTTGATGTCGTTGGTGATGACGCCGGCAGCGAGACCATACTGCACGTTGTTGGCGCGATCAATCATTTCGTCAATGCTGCTAAATTTAAAGATCGATTGGACAGGGCCAAAGATCTGAGGGATGCCACAGTTAGAGAATGCGTTTGAAATTTGGCTTGGTATGCTTACCTCCTCCTGAGCAATGCGCATGTCATCCTTGACGTCTGAGAACACAGTCGGCTCAATGAAGAATCCGACATCCCCAATGCGTTTGCCTCCAGCTTGCAGCTTGGCACCCTGTTGCTGGCCGCTTTCGATGTAGCCGAGCACCTTGGTCATCATCTCCCCATCGATTTGCGGACCTTGCAGAACACCATCGTCGAATGGGTTGCCCACCTTACGTGCCTTGGCCTTGGCAGCAGCCTTCTCGACAAACTTGTCATAGATCTTCTCATGCACATATGTCCGACTTCCGGCGCAACAACTCTGGCCATGGTTGGAAAAGAGTGCTTCGTGTGTCGTCTCAACGGCATAGTCAACTGTGCACGATTGAAAGTTATTTGGGTCGGTTTCAGATAGAAGAAGAACAAAATACTTACTGTCCGCATCTTCAAACACCACTACAGGGCTCTTGCCGCCCAGTTCCAAAGATACCCGCTTCAAATTTGACTTGGCAGCAGCCTGCATGATAATGCGACCAATGTCCACGGAGCCCGTGAAAGCCACCTTGGCAATATCGGGATGTTCGCTTATGGCTGCACCTGCAGTTGGACCGAACCCATTAATTACATTGATAACACCAGCGGGGAAACCGGCCTCCTTGGCCAATGCAGCCATGTGGAGGGCAGTCAGTGGCGTCTGCTCTGCCGGCTTCATAATAATTGTGCAGCCCACGGCCAGAGCGGGTCCCCACTTCCAGGCCAGCATGAGCAGTGGATAATTCCAGGGTATAATCTGGCCGACAACGCCTACGGGCTCCTTTCGCGTCATAGAAATGAAGCCGCCAGCGGGAATGGTATCGCCAAAGAATTTGTCCGTCCAGCCTGCATAGTATTGCAGAGTCATGATGGAGATGGTTACATCGAAAAGCGCCTCCGCGTAGGGCTTGCCATTATCCTGGGTCTCGATGCTGGCCAAAAATTCTCTATCTCGCTCCATTAGTTCGCAGAGCCTAATGGGACAAAGGGGGTCAGAGTGATTTCTGTTTTCAAAAAGATTTCTTTCTCACTTATTCATCAGGTTTGTGCGTTGCAGGGGACTCATCTTTCTCCACGCAGAATTGCGATGGAATGCCTTCTTGGCAGCAGCCACAGCCAAGTCCACGTCGGCCTAACGATATAAACGATCATTAAGAGGGATGCATCAAAATTAAAACATTATACCATTATACCACTTACCTTATCACCCTCGGCCACTTGAACTATCTCCTTGCCAGTGGCCGGATTTATAGTGGAAAATGTCTTACCAGACTTGGCGTCAACAAACTCATTGTTTATAAAGAGCTGCAAGCAGAAAACACACGATTTTCGACCAATTTGGTGTTAATATATTTCTACCAGTGCTTGTCAAACTGTGGCAAAATATTACCTCACAGTAAGATGGCGGGCAATTAGCCAACTCTGATAACTGAGCACGCGAACCCCAACCCTGAACCCAGCCGCGATATCCTCCGCCAGTGAATAACCTATGTAGTCGCATTTTGTAAACTCATTTTGATTTGATTGTATTTTGATTGTGTATGTAGTTAGTATGTTTTGTCTCTTGTTTTAACAACTTGTCAGAGCAATTTGTCTTTTTTTCTCAGTTTTTTGACGCACGCGACAATTTTGCTTGGAAATGCAAACAACGAAATGAATTCAAGGCACGTTCTTTGTTGTTAAATATATACAGACATGTATGTTTAAAGCAGCTATAATGGAGTGCATTTTATAAGTAAATGCTTGCAAATGACATTATAGCCATATTATAACAGCAAGAAATGCATGTTACAACGATCTGAAAGCACTACGCTGCACATCTCGGGCAGTTTTCCAAAACAAAATGCCAGATAGCCGCGAAAAGAATAAACAATTGATTACACTTTATAAAACCAATTTCAATCATTTTTTTTTATAAAGGTATTAATGATATTGCTGATCGCTCAATTTCTGAAGATGTCCGTTGCTTTCAAAATAATAACGAAAAATAATAATGAAATGAAAATAATAATGAAATACTCTAAAGAATCCAAACTACTAACTATCAAAGTTCTTCACAAGCTTCACAAAAACTAGCAATAATTAAAAATACGGCTATTGGAAATATATGTAGATTTTATATACACGAGTATAAGTTTTGAAACTGTTATAATCGTGGTACCATTTTGGACATTACTCCGCTATCTACATACAACATATACATAGCAACAACATATACATAGCACCACCATGGTATATTTTTCTTCTAAAATATACAATTACGTTGCCTATTTAATTGCCTTAGGTGAATTTTCGGAGGGTATTCTACACGTACATATGTTTTCATATAGTATGTGTAGCTAATTGTTGATAAAAAGCTCCATTTAGAACGTGCTGATAAACAAATCTGGCAGAGTCACATTACGACTTATGGCCCCCCATCGTTCCAAACGAACCAATAAATGCTGATTATTTAAGTGGTTGTATAAGCATAACAGGCTGCTGATAAGCACTTGGTCTGAAGAACACCCTGTTTACAAGAAAATCAAGTAAGTACATAATCAAGAGGTCTGGAAAAGGTGCGTCCGTTGACGGGTCCAAAGCAATAATTGCCAAGTGGGCGCCAGAGAGGAGCTCGATGCAGCACAAACAGGTTGAAGAGCAAACGGCTCACTCAGGAGCAGTTTAGCTGAGCTAATTTGCTAATTCATTTATTGCTGGCGTACGCTCCCCCAAGAGTTTGACTTTACAGCTACCCTTTCCAAAACTTTGCACAGCTGGATACGATGAACATACACAAAAGTGCTCTACTACTTATGTATATATTATATATCATACTATACATATACATAGAGATTGCTGGTTTACTTACTTTTGTATGCTTGGGCGTTGCATTCGGATTGGCCATGCTGTTGATTTTAATTTGAGGAATGTACGCTGCTCTCACTGGACACGCTGACGATACGCTGCTGCGATTTCCTTACGGCTCGAGCTAAACTGAAGCTGCAGTGACCGTCGCTTTCGCTTTTATAGGCCCACTGATAATGCCCGTCACGGCGCTCCCTCTTAGAGTTCTGCTTGTAATCAAAGGTTGCTTTACACTCTTGTTTATCGCTTTGTTGTCTTACTTATTATTAGATCGCGTTCATATGTGCACATACACGCACATTTTTATATTTTGTATCGCGTTCTCGCTTTGCCGGCCGGCGCTTTGGAAATATAGGTTTTTATGCGCTGCAACAATTTTCCATAGAGCCTATCGATTTTCATAAGGATAATGATAAGGACAGATTTGGGGACAAATGCTGTATTGCTTTTAAATAAAACATGCTAGTGGACCACAACTTTATTTTCGTCTTCGCATTAGTCATTAATTCTTTCCGTATACGTAATGTAAATGCATTGAGATTATATGCGGCTGTAGCGCCAGATCGATTCGGCTTAGCTTCACTTTTAATAAATTATTGTTTGTGTTCCCCCAATGTGCTTTATCATGCTTTGCTGTTGTTTGCACAGCTTCGCATATTTGCGTGTGCTTTTAGGTATCTATACATAGACAGCGCTAAGGCGCTTTTTTGAAATTGTGGTGTGTCTTCGCTGAAAGCTTTTGTAGCTTTATTTTTACATTGCGTTTCCTACAGGGTGGTTTAAAATTAATTTTGATACCGCAATGTTCAAAAGATTGTAACGCATGAAATAAGAATGTCAGATAATGCTCGTTTGAGAACAATTAAATGTTTGTGGCTTATATACTATAATTAAATAATGTTTATAGCTATTTGCGTAATTCATTTAATTTATTATTAATATACTCGAACATTTTTCTTTCTTAAGTTATGTTATTGTGATTTAATTGTATTAGGTTAAACATATTTACAGCATGTTGAAATCCTTTCAGTTGAAATCAAATGTAGAGGTATAGATATAGTTCAAAGGCTCGTTGTGTGCACTAATCGAGCGCCACCTTTTCCATAATTTTTACTGGAGAAGCTCTCGTAGCTGTAGATACGCTGCACCGGCCCATGATCCAGAAATTTCAGTTTCTTAAGCGACTGCGCAATGTAATTGCTGCAATGAAATATGAAATTAATTTCAGGCACGAGCGCTGCTAAATATACTTGTAGATAAGCCTGCAGTTGCCATAAAGCAACGAACCTGTAATACAGATAGTCGTACTGCAAATAAGTCGAAAATGGCTGCAATTCTAAGCCGTCCGGGCAGATGGGATTGCCGTGCAGGCTGAGGTACTCCAGGTTGGGGAAAAGTCTTCGGATGAGCTGCATAGTTGTGTGCAGGTCGCTAAACTATGGGAATAAAACGCTATTAACGCTTATGTATACAATGCCCTGGAGTCAGCCCACCTCATTCTTGTTCAACATCAGCACCTCCAGTTGTGGGAGCGGTTGAGTGAGAGTTCGAAGTTGCGCCTCATGTAAATGATTGTTGTCCAGAACCAGGTGTCGCAATTGCTCGAACTCAGCGAGCCAGGACAGATCTTTGATGCGGTTGTAGCTTAAGTCCAATAACTCCACGTAGCTTGCGTGTCGCTTTATATTTTCGGGGGGCAGGTTTCGCAGATTCTTCTGCACCAAAATAAGCTGTAGAAGACTAGAGTTAACGACTTTGTTATCTATGCGAGATAAGTTCCAATCACCTGGGCACAATCACTATCACAGTCAACGGCAACACCACTGCTTTCCCCTAACGCTTGCATCTTCATCAACTTCCACACACACAGAGGGTCTTAACGATCTCCACGTAGAACTTCTCACTCTGGCGGGGCGTTTTGCGCAACTGACGCAGAGAGCACAATCGCGGTAATTGATAACCGGGCGTTTTATGTTTATTTCTTCCATTATACTTGTATGAGTCTTGAGTATGATTTTCTTATTTTTACTCGTCGCATGCGTCTTTTGTTTTAATTTATTTTGTTTGGCTTCTTTCGTTCGTTGGCGTCGCAACCGAAGCTTTTTCTCTCCACTGCCAAAGGTAAAACACAACTGACAGCTTCTCAGCACCCCATAGACCAATCAAATATGAGGTGTAGATGGCGCCACTTTTAAACGGGAAGGTGATGAACTAGGCATGATCGCACTTTTATTATGCAGCATGCATTTTTATTGCACATTTTATTACATATAGTATTAGTAAATGAATGAAATTATCGACATTTTGAAAACACATACAGGTAGTAGTTTCGAGATATTTCTAAAAGGAAAAAAATATAGAAAAAGCTGCAATTGATATTTATGCCAACATAAAGTTATTAGCCAATAAGATAAAGCGAAATTTTTGGGGGTGTCATTTCTTATAATGCCTTTACGAACACCACTTGTAAGCAATCGAGTAGTATGCTAATCATATGAAGCCCAGACTAACCTGCCTCCGCTAAAATCGGTCGTGATCGTGACAACCCCGAGTGGGTAGGCCTTTCTATGTGATGCATGCAATTAAAGTTGATATTGATTTGAATCGATTTAAAGCTACTATAAAATAACACGATAAAAGCGTAAACTAGACTTTCAGATAACCAGACAGAGCACGTCTGAACTATCATGGACTAATATTTTGCCCAGAGATCATAAAGTGCACCACTAAATCAATTGCTCCACTTTGTTGTCGATTCAACGGAATTATTTTATGATTGCCAATTAGTGTATTTGAATTTCATTTGTGAACCGTTTTGGGTAAGTATTTTGAAGTGTTTTGAAAACCATAAATTAAACGTGATCGAAAAACATAATGTGTGTTATTGTGCCTGACCACTCTGTTATTATGGCGCTTGCATTGAGCCCCTTGCATGGGTTATTATTTGCTCCATCTTTTGTTTGTTCGGTGGCACTCCACTGGAGAGCACCTGCTCGGCATTTGCACCTTAACTTGTTTTGGTCAAGTGAAACACAAACAAGCGTAGCTACAGTTCGGAAATTCAACGTTTAGGATTTATTCGAGGCTTGAGTAATTGCCGAAGTCAAAACACTGAAGCGAAATAGAGGATTACTTACCTAATGCGTTACATATCGGAATATATGGTTAGCTTTACATAAGATCCCATAAACCTTGTGACTTGCACTTCGACAATATTGTCTAACATCATGCTTTTATTGTAAGTGTAAATGGCATTTTAGTAGCATGAGAACTTGATTCAAAGTCCTATAATAAGGATGGATAGATGACAACCTCCTTACAAATTACTTCGACCTGAACACAATATTAATTCGAAGTGGAAATTAAATTTATGTTAGAAAATAATGGGTATTAAAAAACGCCATCCTTCTGTAGGTATTGCTGTAAAAATAGGAGAATTATAAAGCTGCTAACTCACTCTTCGACATTATTATGTGGCAGCTACGTATCTAATGTGGGCTACTTAATATTAAGTATACGTCGTGTAGCCGTTGGCCAAATCGACAGAGTCGGTCGACCCAAATCAAGTTCAATACCATCTAAATTTAGTAAAGTAATTTGAAATATGAACTATGTATGTACAATAATGCCTAAGTATAAGTACGAATCGAATGACTCTGCTGTTTCCCACGCTCCTCGAGTGACAAGCAGAATGAAAAGCACTTCACGCGTCTGGGTCTAAGGCTGCTAAATGAAAAGTCCTTCGAACGCTTCGTCACACTCCACTCGAATAGAATTCGCAAAAGTGCAGCACAGCGAGGGTTGCGGGGGAAGGGGCGGTGTGCCTGAACAAAACGCCGCTAAGTGCGCAACAATGGGCAAGTGGTCGAAAATACAGTTTTAATTGCCAGTTAGACCCGATATGAGCAGCAAACAAAAGTGACGGCCGATAAAGAGCCATAGAAAATTGCGCCCGCTGCTGCGTTGGGGCCACAATGAATGCCAATGGCAAATGCGATTGACTGCAAACGGCTACAAAATGTATCTTTGTATCGGCATGTTTACATTGGCCATACAAAGCGGTTGGCATGATAGGCCAGGGCAAGGGTAGGGGCAGTGGCAGGGGCAGGGGCAGGGGCAGGGGCATCAGGGCGAGCTAGCTAGCGCAAACAAAAGCAGATGACAGCGTAAATAAACAAAAGCGCGAGATATAAATTACGACGGCAGCATTTAACTAGGTACTTTATTCAATGAAACATGACACGCACAGCTGCAGATACACGCACAATGCGGCGCTGGTATATCCATCAGATACTCCAATACAAAACGTCAGTGAAACTAATCGATTTGTGAATGGCGCTGGCCATTGGCCGTTGGCCGTTGGCCATTACCACAGCCTTTGACAGCTGTTGCTACTGCAGTGCGCCTCCTGGCCCCCTCTCTTCTGTACCCTGTCCCTTGTCCACTGCCTCCCAGACACCCCACCGACCTTCTCCTTGCCCATGAACAGCATGCGGCCCTAGCGATCAGCGACTGTCGGTGACGTTTGTTGGGAGCCATTGTTGTAATTATTCGGTAGGGGCCTTTGTTGTCTTCCCCGAATGTTGAGGGTAAGCTTTTGTATGTTATTGTGATGGTATATAATATAAACGCATATAAATAAAGATATGTATATATGTATGTACTTTGGATGGCAGTGACAGAAGTGGGTGGCAGTGGCCACCAAAATAAACCTCTTTGTGTGCGTGTTTGCTTATTTATTTTTCCTTTTCTTTTTGCTTTTTTGACTTTGGCTGTGACTCGTAAACGGTGCACGATACACGCCGCGATGTGTGCTCAGTATTTATATTTTATTCATTATTATCGTATGTTCCATTCTCCATTATAATTCAATGTCAATATTTGGGCTGTGCTAATTGCAGTCCCTTATTATGGGCCAAGCTAAATGAACTTCCATCACACTGTTTTGGCAACGAGCTGGGCAGTCAGCTTCCCCATATGAGCGGTTAGCGGCACACAGAATTATTGATCAGCGTATTGGACTGAATTGTAGTTAGTGCAGCTCTAAGCCTATTACGGACTCGTATGGCACCGAACATCATACGAGTATTCTAAATTATGCAGCGCATTCATGGTAATGGGAGAGCTCTCTGCAAACATGATTGACACACAAAAAAGGGGAATGGATAAATATTCACATCAGACAGAAACGCACGTATTCAGCAATTATGGAAAATTGTTTTGCCAGTATGTCGAGGGAAATACACATAACTACTGCTTCTCCTATATGGATTATTCAGTATGTGAAATAAACAAGCCGTTCTTGGATTAATTTATTGCAAATTTAATTTAAAATATATTTCTAAGAATGCAGTATTTGGAGGATAAAGTTAACAGATTGCCATATTTTAGGGGGAGTTCTTCGAAAGTTATTATTTAATTGTATTATTGTTTATTACTATTTCATTTTTAACTGAATTAATATAAACCGAAAAGAAGAGCACTCATAGTCGAATCAATAAAAAGCCGAATTCTGTTCAGCCGGGAGATATGTATATATAAATTAACAGAATTTTTGATAAGGAGAGCCTATTTCTTCTTTTAGGGATAATTACGCAGCGTTGAGCACAACAAACCTTTTTGATGGCCCGTTGCCTAGTCATTAAAGCTTGAAAGTGCGTCACCGGAGGAAGAAAGTAGTTTGGATTATCTATATTGCATTTTAATGGCTAATAAAAAGCTCGGATAAAATAAAAGGTCTGACTATCCTACATGGCCTTACTACGGTGAAAGCACACAAAAAATGTGCTGAGTGTTAGATCCTTGCACAAGCAGTTCCATTCGAACTAGAAGCCTCAACATATTCAAGCTGCGGTTATATTTGCAAATTATTTACATAAAAAATTGTGGTATTTTACGAGTAGACTTTTAAAAATAGTTCACAAGGAGGCACAAAGTAAAAACTATTGTTGTTTTAATTGAAGAAACATTAAAAAATTCGACAAATTACTTGTCAGTTTGACCATAGCTTACAGGATATTCCGGCTGAGGATCTAAAGCCCTCACTTTTAGGCCGCACAAAATATAATCTATATACAAGTATGTATGAATGTTTCGGACTTCAGTCAGGTATTTGGCTTACGTCAATGGATTTTAAACAGCTAAATTCTTTGCCAGAGTGGGATATTTTTTCGCAAAGCAAAGCAACAGTTTTCGATCACAAAACTTCACAAACGAATTTGCGGGCAAATATTTTGCAGCTGAGAAATTGAAAGTGGGGAGAAGTGATGAGTACCGTGGGGGTGTCGAAAAGTTAACTTCAACTTTAATTGTTTCCTGCAAACCGATCTCGATAACGTTACGTAAGCCGGTGGTGGTGTTGATAATTGCTCTCGATTCGCGGTAAACTGACGACCTTGTGGCGCATTCGCAGTTTCGGGCACTCAAACGCCCACTGGGGCCCCGGCGGAGTACTCGTAGTGTGAAAATTTGCTACTAATTTGTAATAGAAAAGTAAAACACTATGTCTGTCGGCTCGGCCGACTTGCGAAGCGCTTTGCGTTAATTAACGAGATAATCGACGGCACCGTCACCTGTTCATGACCATCATCATTATTATGACGAGCCTTTGCCCGCAGCCGATTCATTAACGCCATCCAGTCGCTTATCAGATGCTTTGTCAACAAACATTCATTTTAAAATAACTTGAGTTGCTATTTATCATCCGGCGCGTTGAAGGGGAAGTTTCGTCCCTCTGCTGTATTCGAAGAGGGGGAACTGTCGGCAAAAACATTTACTATTTACCATTTACAAATTGTCATAATTTACTCCGTCGTTTCTGTCTATCCATGTAGGTTGAGGCGTTTAAATGTGTAACACTCGGCATGATTTGCATGTTTTGAGGTGCTCCGTTGGGCTTTTGTTGTTGCTTGGTAAAAGTTTGAATGATTTCATTGCTTATACACATGAATGCACACATACGTTCGTTAAATAAGTAATTAGAGATGTATTGAATCTTTATTTATTTCATCACTCAGCCGCATTGTTATTGGGGCGTTACATTCGCTTGAACTGTAACACGAAAGTTACTTTCCACAAATACTTGTGCGAATATATTAAATAATCTATTTATACAAGTTTTGAATATGGGTTCCTCATTCTGCGGACACCTTAACATTCAACTCATCTGTAATTTAATACAAGTATATGCGATTGGAAATTGTAATTGCGTTTGATGGGAGACTTTAATTCGAACCTTTTATGCGGGTCTTAACTAACAAGCATTATTCTTTATATTATACAAGTACTTCTTTAGGACCAAACAGCAAGTGTTAGGCTAGAAAATAAGGATGTTTTTAGAATCATATATAATGTGTTTTTTCTACAATTTGCTCACGAGAAACCCCTTTGGAAAAAGCATGTAAGTGTTCAAGCATTGATTGTGACACGACACACTTCTCTCCGGTGGGTTCAGGTGTTTGATTTTATTCATAAGCTTCGTTATGGGGCAAAGGGGTACGGCTGTCTGGTTGGGTAAGTAGTCGATAAACAAAACAAGGTGTTTATTACGTCGTTTATCATTTCAAAGTCAATTAAGCAGGAAATAAATACAATAAGCACAAAGTACATACAAGTATTTGAAAACTCAACTTGACCTGTCCTCACATGCTCCTCAAATGGTAGCTTTATTCAAAACGTAACCCCTCGTTGGGGCATCGGTATGCGTTTTGAGGTTTTCTTCAAAAGGCATTGACCAACTCTAGTCGACGTAGGTTTTCAATGACGGGGCCTCCAAGCAGCTGGCTCAAGCCAGCTCCCTCGCAAATGCGTTGGAGCAGTCAAAGGTAAACACGCAGCCACATACACATATTGATGGTCGGGCCACAGAGCGCGGGTTGTTGTCGCTATTGTCCGCATTTTGTAGCAATTCGTTTGTGCGTGGCACTTGAGTGCAACAAGTGGCAGCAACGGGCTCTCAAGTGCATTCTTCAGCGCGTCTATTTTAAGCCCCGAACCGTGGAAATACCGAAAAGAGCGACCACTACCATCTCGTTGCCAGCCAACCGATGCTCGGTAGCGTGCGCAATGTCAATGTAATCGAACGAAGGGCAAACCAATAATGGCAACGCTGCCGGCAGTGGCAAGTGGCAAGTGGTCGCCGAGTCGGGCGATCGCGGCTACTGCACAGGTGACCTGATTTTGGAACCGCTTGCGCAATTACAATCGCAGTCCCAGACAGGCACCGAGCCATGTACGCCTTGTCTTTTACTCACTCTTTTACTTACTGCCGCTTTCGAGCCATCTTTCTCTGTTTCCCCGTTTTTGGCCAGCGGCCAGCGGCCATCGGCGGTTGGTGCTCGGCGTTCGGTGCCCGGGGTTCGGCTTCTTCAGTGCGTCCAAGTGCACCAATTTCAATTATCCGCGCACACGTCGATGACGTAAAGCCCCGTCCATAAGTCCATCCACTGTCCCTTTGTCCGGCCTGATCTTCAGGCGTGTGTGCACAATTTCTCCTCAATGTCGGCTGCGCAATCGTTGAGCTGCAATTAAGATTAACAATTTGTTACCGCAGTGTGTGTGGACAAGTGTTTAATTTCGTTTATTTGCTTTTCCACGTGTTTTCTTCTCCAAATCCAATTACAATTGGTAAGTATGCGTGCGTTTTGTTAGCTTGTTTGTTTCTTTTGGTTGCTACGTTGTCGTTGTTTCGTCTGCTGCTGCTGCTGCTGTTGTTGTTATTGATGTTGTTGTTGCTATTTGGCTACAATTAAAAAATTGATTTGATTGTTTCTATTGAATTTCGTAATCATTGCCGTACATCGCGTATATCGCGTACATCGCGTACGCGGTCCACATCGGTTGTAGGTGTCGAAAGTGGTGCAAAGTTTCTCGGTTGATATTATGAATTAAGACTATTGGGCTCATGTGGTGTACGAGTATGACCGTACGCCATGGCCCATGGCCTTGGCTATCGAACACCGAGATTTGTCATACCAATGATATTATCTTAATCACTTAATATGGGAAAGTTTACGGGAGGCATGGACACGCCAACCTATAAGCAGTGAAGGACTGGCCGGTCTGGTGTTTGTTATATGACTGTGCGAGTCTGATTTCTTCAGAAGAATACACATTTTATTGGTTATTAATTTTTAATTGAGTACATTTTACTCAAGACGCATGTATTTGAGTTGGTTCTTGGTTTTACAAAAACTCAGCTAAAAGCCGGTGCTCAATTAAACGAAAAAGCCTACGATGTTAATCGAACTGAAATCCTCGAACTCTGCCTCACATGAATGAACTTCATCAATGGACTGGGTCGGGGGCAAGCGGAGGGCTTGTAATCGTGGGTCACTTTCGATTTCAAGACAAGCCAGTCAACAACTAAAGTGTGCTTCAATTGTGAAAAAACACTTGGCACTCTGCTGAAGGTTGAGTGTGAGTGTGCGCACTAAGTATGTGTGTGTGTGAGTGTGTGTGTGTGATACAGTCACAGAGTCAGGTAAGCGTAACCCAAGGCAGTTATCTTGGAGTTAAGAAGAAGCAATGGCAGAGGAGGAAGCAGCGCAGGTGTCGGGCAGCCTGCGGCATGCTTCGACTTAAAGGCTTCACATACCAATCCATTACCTTTGCCCGTTCTCTTGCTAACATGCTCTCCCCTGATTTGGCTATCAATCCACCATGGCATGCACAAATAATTTCTTGGATTAAAATTTTGTAAAATAGGAGCTGCGGTGCTCTTAGCCAGTATTAACCAGACTATCATTGAATCATAACTCTGTTCTATCGACTCAGTACTGGGTGGTATGTGTAATATGAACTCTATAAAATGTATAGCAAATAAAATTCTTTATTTTGTGGGTACGGTGGGATAAAATTGTATATAATTTTTATATTCGAAAATAAGAAAATCAACGCAGTGATGTCCTATTTAAATTATGGATAAATGTATAGTAAAATAAATATAATATTTTTAGCTCAAGCGGCTATCGCGAAATATTTTTATAAATAACCTAATAAGTGAATAAGGAGCTAGTTATCCTCAATGTGGCTTTTGAAATGTTGGCTCCCGTTTTGATGAGAAACCACCGTCGTAATTTCATCATAAAACACTATACTTGTATTCGGTTCTAAGAAGTATTGTGCTGTATAAGTATTACTCATTTCTAGTCTTTTAGTTAAAGCACTACATATAACTACTAAGTGTAGCCTAAAATTTACGCGATTGGCTGTGTGAATAGATGTCTCTCTACCTGCTGAAATAGACTGAATTATAGTCGCATGTGTAATGAAGAAATTGTGATGGATCATTTTTGAGTATTAATTAAATTGAATTAAACTGATTATATAAGATATTTGATGCAGATATCTGAAATACTGCTTCATCCAAAAGTTGATATTCTTTTGTTAAACTGTTAAAATATGCCTAGCATTTGTCGTTTGACCCATAGTACTGTGACGCGTTTAAATGTAATAATGTTTTATAGTTTCGCTTTGCGTTCGGACTCTTTTTGGTCTGCCATCACATGCTTCTAAAATTTCTCTTGGTGAGACATCACAAGCCGTACGTTGGCTGCTGCTGGTTCGCTCAACTACTCAGCTACTCACCTACTAACCTGATGCGCTACTCCTTTCTGAGTACAGCTCTGGGAAGCGTCGTTTGCTCTGCCGGCGCTGCTAGCGTTATCGTTCACCGGCTGTATCTTTGATGTATAGTTCAATTCATTTTTTTGTTACCTTTTGTAATTTGGTTTTGAGTATGGTAGCAGCCAAAAGCGCCGCTCAGTGGTTACGAGTGTGGTGCGTAGCGCTTTGGCACTCTCTCAACCGAACCATATAAATGCGCTCGGCCTCTTCTGCTGGAGCATCAGTCGAGCTACAACAGTGTGAGTGCCAACGAAGCCATCTGAAGGCATAACCAAGGATTACGTGTGCAAAATCGAAGTGGGAGATACACTAAAACTTAGGAATTACAAATAAAAAGTTGCCATCGCTATGAGTATATCGTCGCTGCTCATCGTCTGCGTCGCTTCGCTAGTCGCTGCCTCCTCGGCACGTCCTGAGGCGCCCTATGTCTATCATGGATTACCCCAGCAACAGAGCCAGCGTGCGTTGCCGCTGAGTGGTGAGTGGGGCACAGCAAGCACCGAGATCCACCGCAGCTAGACTCATCACCACCCTCCCCTTTCTTCTCTAATAGGTCACCCCGTGCCACCACAAATCTATCAGGCGCTTCCTCAAGAGCAGTCCTTTTCCAGCTTTGCCTCACCTGCAGCTCAGCCTCAAGTACCGCAGGGCAACTATCTGCCTCCCCAGCAGTTAGATGCCATCGAGTCGTTGCCACCTACGGCGACTGCTTCTGGTGCTGAGCCACTGAACCATTATGATGACTCATACAACATGGCACATCGTTTGTCGGGCATTCAGCACTCCTCAGGCTATAACAATGCACCACCTGAGACAAAGGTACACAAGCATATCTACGTGCATGTGCCGCCCAAGGACTTTGAGGAGGAGGTGCAGCCCCGTGTACACCATCAGGTTGGACCTAAGCAGAAGCACTACAAGATTGTCTTCATCAAGGCGCCATCCGCACCTGCAGTGCGTCCACCAATTGTGGCGCCACCTCCACAGAACGAAGAGAAGACGCTGATCTATGTGCTGCACAAGAAGCCCGAGCTGGATCAGGACATTATCATTCCCACGCCAGCGCCCACCAAACCCTCCAAGCCTGAGGTCTACTTCATCAAGTACAAGACTAAGAAGGAGGAAGCGCCTGTCTATGGACCTCCACCATCAGACATGGAGCCGAGACACTCGCCCGTTCCCACCGCCGAAGACTTTGCTCCTGTCTCTGATGTATCTGATGTGTTGCCCACCACTACTGCGCAGAGTCTTCCCGAGCCAGAGCAGCCTGTTGCAGTTCCGTCGGCCCTATACGGTACGCCGACAGCCGCCGCTTACACTGGCGATGAGGTTCAGACTACTCTGACTGCTCCTGTCAATCAATACCTGCCTCCATCCACTGCTCCTGCCGCCCTCGCCATCGAGGAGCCATCCATGGCACCAATAGTGGTGGAGGATCAAGAACAGCGTCGTGCGCCCGCCTCGAATTACGGTCCACCAAACCGCTTCTTCCTCAAGAAGATCAAGTAAATCGAATCGAGGCAGTAGGAAAATTGAAATTTAGTCTTAATGGCGTGCTGTCCACGCCTGTAGGTCACGCCCACACGTCCATACGCACTCTCACGCAGACACGAACACACACATTTTGATTGTTGTTTCTCTCATGTAATTTTGTTAAATGTTTGTTTAATTTTTAGCCAATAATAAAATCGAATTTATACTAAAACAGACAGCTCAATATAGTATCAGAAGCATTGAGCCACCTTGGTTGCGATGGCGTAACTGGCCGTAGGTTGCAGATACTGGGGTTACTGGGGGTGTTGCAAAGGGAGAAAGGCTCTCTCCTGAACTGAATTCCCCAGAAGCGCCCGGAGCTTAGTTAAGCCGTCATCGTCAATTCAGTTGTATTGGGCTCGTATAAGTTAATATACACATGAACAAACGGTCGAACAAAAATTAAATAACTGTAATTGTTCACGTCTAACTTATTTGCTTTTGCTTCGGGCGAGCTTTTTAATGTTGAGCAAAAGATGAGTATCTGGCAATGGACAGCAGATAAAACTGAACCTTCATTGCCTCAGAATGCAGTAAATTTTGATGACTGGCAAATTTTAAGATCATTAAATTGGTTACGTTTTGTGAATTTCGAGCTCCTCTTTGATATTTAAATCGTGCTGATAGTTTTGTTTCATTGATACTTGTAAGCAAAATAAACAAATGCTGGTGTTTGTATACTTGTAGACTTTAATTGCGGTGTAAATTGTGTGTTTATAAAGTTAGTTACCGGGCGGTAAGTAGAACGTGTGGTGGCATTTCCTGATTTAATTCAACAGTGAGTGCCATTTTAAGTGTATGACTTTTAAATGTTTAGCAACAAATTAAAGTATTGGATTTGTTAGTACTGTTCCTCTAAAAATATAGTTTAATATTTGTTAATTTATTATTAAATGACATAATAATTAACGTATTTCATTAGGCAGTTTACCAATTGAGTATTTGGGGATTAAATAAATGTTTTGTCATTTAAAAAGTTGCTTAAGCATAGCAACATTCTCAAGCAACAAGCAACATGTTGACCAGAATAATTGCCAGTTAAAGTTTTCGCGCCAAAAGTTTCACAATCACGCAGACCGTTAGCAGCATGTAGCTGAAGCCCACAGATACATATATGACGACGACCCTACATGCCATACAAGCAACAGGGCGTTTTGAAGGAGTCGTCGTCCTTTTAGAGCGTGTGTTTGGATGTCGGAAACACTTTCGCCAGCTTCGTGCATAGACACTCGAACTTCGGGTTCGGATGATCTGCAGTCAGTGGCTGCCATCGTTGGCGCTGCCATTTTAGTTCGCTTGTTGTGTTCGTGCGCGCCGCATCGTCAAGGTGGTGCTCCGTTCTAAGTGCTTGGGTGGACTTTGCTTTCGTCGTTTAATTTAAATTTCAGATTGAATTGAACGCCGCCACTTGGTGCGTTTTGGTGTGCGACTTGCTTCCCAGCGAGTGTTTAGTGTCCGTTTCTCATAAAATAGCAATTTAAACAATTTATTAACGTTCAACAAACGAATTTGAATGCCCAGCACACGCAGGCAATAAACAATCAACGGCGTAATTAATAAAGTGTTTATAGAGGCATTAGGCAATCGGGCATAAGGTGTGTGTAACAATTCGCATTTGAGAAAGCCAGTCGCGGCCAACGGTGCGTATGCGTGTTGCCAAAGTTTTGGTGCAACGACTTGCTGTATGGGTTCTACACCCACGTGTGTCTGCCTCTGTTGATATTTGTGGCTAGTTCATTGCAAATAAAAAGGTGAAGTTATTTCGTACGTTGTAGCTGGTCGTGACCCTATGCCATTTGTATCTGCATGGGCGCTAGAGTTCGTATTAATGCTAATTTCCGTCGCTTGGGAGATGAGCGAGCAGCCAATGTACTGGCCCAGCTGTCCAATTCTGTGCGCCTTTGTTGCCTCCAAATGCTACTTTGCCGGTATTCAGTAGGTAAGTACCCCGCGGCTGTACTCAAATGCACCAACAACCCACCACATCCTCCATACACATGTGTGAAAACTTTACCTGCTAACGAGTTTGCCCTCTGAGCGTAATTTGCGGTTTTTGTGGTTAGCACTTTGCAAGTGTCGCACATTTTGTCGCATCTGCGTTTGATTAGCCCCATTTTAATGAGGCATACGAAGTCGTTTTCAGAATCTATTTTCACTCTCACAATAATGTGTGGATGTACGTGCATAATTTGGATTTATGGTGAAAGTTTCCCGCCTGCTGATAAAGGAGTAGATGAGCCTCGGCTTGCTATTAAATTTATGAAAGTTGTTGCCAAAGGCAATTAGGCTCAGCCATATACACAAAGAAATGGGGCAAAGCTTTTCAATTTTTATAAAATAAATAAGGAGTGTGTTTAAAAACTAGTTTATTAAATTTCCTTGAATATTATTGCAAATAATCGTTTTACCGCTTTATTCTTGATCATCTAATATGAACTATAACATTAAAAGAATCACAAAATAATAAAAATGGCATGTTTCGTCTTCCTCATTTTGTTCAGTTTATAACATAGCCAATATAGTTAAGGTATTTTTAAGTTTTATTAAAAGTTACTTAATTCTTCTTTTTCAGAAGAATAGGCACAAAACAAAACCGCCTGATTTGTTTCGATATTGGCGCTCGTCGCCATTATTAAGAAGGGAAGTGTTTTTTATCTGGGCTTAAAAAATATATGAAGTTGACGCTAAAAATGCTGCTTAAGCCAAATGGGGATAGATATTTTATTTTGAAAGTTGTTACTGGTTTTAAATCAAAAGTTCTCATAAGTTTTTTACAATCGATATTAAAAATCTTAGCTTATATAGTATTGCATTTTTCTCTCTGTGGGACTGAAATTTGTGGAAATTTGTACAACATACTGGAATCGAACAAGTATCCATAGTTGAAAAGTCGCACATTGTAACCTGCTGTCATCTGTTTGTGACGATGAAGCCGGCGGAGATGTTTACTCAAAGTATGTCCCACGGAAGAAAAGAACTGAAAAGACAAGTCCTTGGCTCAAATTTCTGTTAATGTGTTGTCTACCCTCGTCACATGCTCCTGTCGATTTTCAAATTTCAAGCACGCTTCAGTATTGTCTTCAACGATGCCCACGATGCCCAACTGCCGAATTGGAATTTCAGCTTATTTTACGTGTGTCTGGAAACTTGCAACAAATCTTAGATGCATTGCACGGAAACGTGCACGAAAGTCACTGAGCAGTATAATTAGTTATAGCTGGCACGTTTCAGTCCTGGTTGTGAACTGTTTGCATATTGGTGCTAAGTACCGTAGATTGTTAAAATAGAATTCATTAATGGGAAAACTGTATAAGCCTTCACTCATCTGTGCAGATAAACAAGGCATAGGAGTAACACGAATGCCACAAAGCCCTTCAGCATTAATGACTAGAATAGAATACTTTGTCGACTTCAACCTATTATATTGATTTGTATTAAGTGTGGATTAGAGTTCCCAAGACATGTCACGCAATGATATGATGATAGCTAGTTCTAAGACAAAAGTTTATGGGGTGATTAAATTATGCAATTGAATTTGCTTGTGTGGTAAGCCGAATTAGAGAAGTTAGTTGAAGGCGCACTGCGAGCAGGATAAGCAAACTAATTCAAATAATTCAAGCATGGACATGTTAAAAAACAATATTTGAATAAAAGTCAGTACAAATATTTAATCTTAACACCCTGTGATGTCAATTGTTGAATTTTGGAATTTAAGTAATGTGCAGTAAAACATCTGCTTTAAGATATTATTATTCTAAAAGTTTAACACTTGGGGCTCGAAATGCTTTTACATTGATTTGATTGCATGAACAGAAAACTACTGAGCTAGCTTTGCTATGTTATTGCGTTTGTCGAAAATCAAGTTTTACCTTCAGGTCGCCATTCTTCCAAACAAAAGTGTCCGGATGTATCAATCAGCAAGGGTGGAATGAGTTGAATTGAAATGTTGTTCTGCCATCGCTATTTCTGAAGCCGGTACATTAAGCATACGCAGTGGTGGCAATGCCAACACAGCTTATGCTTAGCTGGTGGCGGGTTGGGAGCTGTGTAAGCGGAAGTGCGTGGCACTGACATCCTGATGACATCTTTTGAGCAAACGTACGAATCTATGCCGGCGTTCCTTGCACATCCTGTGCAGTTGGAGCGTAGCGTTGTTAAGGATCTTGACAATGTTGTTGTACAAGCATTTTAGCAATACTCCATGGATGAAAATAAATATTGACGTGGCTTCTGGCATTATTATTCAATTACACTATGCTACAAGTATAATTGAAAGTCCGAATACAACACAAATGTTTTTTATTTTTTTAGTGGACAAGTTGTAGATTTTCATGTTTATGAATCTTAAATAAGGTCAAAAATGGTCAGTACGTGGTAATTGCATGCTAAAAATATAATCGGCATCGTAACTTTTGTGCCAGCAAATAGTCCTTCATTTCCTACTTACTTATCTTTCCAAGTTCATTTAAGTTTACGGCAAGTCAACGCCTTATTTCAAACTAGTTCTGCACTCATTGCAGCTATTTAATAACAAATTTATAAATCGTCTAACATAGTGTTGTTATTATGTGCAAGACATGAAAACTTGAACGTGGAGGGTGGTTTACGAGGGCTTCCCCAATAGGGCCAAGTCGGCTCATATATGGTCGCGTTCCTTCGCTTTTGTGTTGTCCTGGTATATGCAGGTGAATGCATATTTTATCATCAATTAACAATTGAGTTTCCTTGGCTTATGATATAAAGCCTTTTTTGCCTTTTTTTCAAAGAACGGCACGCTTTCGCGGAGCCTAAAGGCAGGCAATGGCATCCGTCCCTTTCCATCCGGCGCGGAGGTTGTCGCTTGCCTTTTTCCGCTTTAATTGGACGTTGTCGGGTCTGAAGCTTATTGTTCACAACTTAAGTGGCTGTTTGGGCTTGTCCTCGATGTTTTCATGTTTGTTGCCTGGCCGGTTTATGTGTCGCTTTAATGTGAATGCGTGATGTTTGTCGCAAATGCTGCCACACGCCTGAGCCCTTCGATGCTATTTTACGGCTTTCCCCATTTCTTACTGGGCCAGCCCTTGGTATTTGTGTTTGTCTTCTTTGGAATAAATGAAATTTTGGAGCGTTGTTTGCATTTTAAAAACGTACTTGCGTGGCAGCTTCTACACAAATAAGTCAGCCACCGCCGCCGCCAAAATCAATATTAAATCAATGGGCATTGCACCATCGCCATTATTATTGCACACTTATATTATCGTTATTTTCAGCAGTGCGTGGGTCTGTGGCTGTTGTTATTGTTATTAATATGAAAACTCTGTCTGTGCCTTTGCAATAAAATCAGTTGACAGCATCCGGTTTTGCGGCACGAACCCTGACACGGACACGCCTCCAACGCAGGCTGCCCATTCCCCACCACCAACTCACGCCCACGCACTTGGCGTTTTACGAGCTGGTAGTTTTCATGAAGAGCGGCGTGAAAATTGAATTTAATGCGACGGGGCGTATACAAAATGAATGACGGAAGTGCTCGAATACTATCTAAAAATGGCAGAGCGTGCAAATGGGCTGGTCTATAGTTTGGAAAAAAGCCGGTTAATTTTTTTTATTGATATTACGCAAAGTTTATCGCTTTACGTTTTTGGGTACAGAACTTTTATCATCTCACCTCGTGGCCATACAAGAATGGCTAGCAGACTGACGCATACATGTAAACGAGCAAAAGTGCAAATATGTCAGCTTTACCCTAAACAAACAAACCTTCCCTCCATTTTCGCTAAACAACATCAATATTCCACAAGAAACCGAAGTATCATACCTTGGTGGAGATCAACTAAAACTAAAAGCTATTAATCTACATTGGCTGATAAACGTCCGTTCACGACTAAAACTGGAGTACAAAGTACTCTTGTACAATGCTGTTCTCAAACCAATTTGGACATATGGCTCTGAATTATGGGGAAACGCTTCCATTAGTAATTTAGAGTTAATCGAGAGAGCGCAATTGAGGATACTGAGAACCATCACTGGGGCACCCAGGTACATAAGAAGTGATAATATCCGCGAAGATTTAAATGTGAGATTTGTTAAATATGAAATCGCCAAGGTGCAAGCAAAGTACCAGCTTAAGCTTCGGAACCATCCGAACAGACTTGCACAGAATTTAACTTGTCAGGCTAGCCATACAAGACTCCGGCGAAGAGACCTCCCCACCCAGCAATAACAGTTAGGGCCGTAAAAAAAATATTTAATTGTAATAAATTAAATAACTGTATTAGGTTAAGATTTTACTACTTATCGTAAGTCTCCTAGAGAGAAGATCCGATAAATAAAGAAAGCTTCTAAAAAAAAAAAAACGTTTTTGGTTTGGTCGGTAGCTTTATCAGAATGGCCCTTCTCGGGCGATTAGGGGATGAATAAATTAAACAACACTAATAGGTTCATTTCAAATGTTGAACCCATATAAAGAAGACAGATTAAAACCAAAATATTCACACACTTTGCTAAAGAGATTTTAAGGATTTGTTAGCGATGCAAACTTAAATTTCATTTATTTGAACGCCTATAATTTTACAATATTTTTGGAGCAGGACAATAAAGTTACCGGCGGTTAAATTGTTTTATGGCAGTCAATTAATTTTGGATGACTTTAAATTGGTTGCCTAGAGTACGTGAACGGTAAACGGAAATGGAATATAATATTTTGCATTTGGTTTTTCTCTCCCGCTAGGCTATTTTAATGCACATACCAATGTGATGTGCACCTGATGTGCTCAATTTGTAAAGAGAGATAGTTGTTGTAGATACTCGAAAGTAGAATTCCAATTATTCGAATTCTTGGTGAATATTTTACATAAATTTTGTTTATGTTTAATATTTTGTTTTCAATTCAGATGCAAAAGCTTTTAGAATTCCGAAATTCGTTTCATGCTGCTTATTATAAATAATCTAAACACATTA